TGTATATTATTATTATTATTATTATTGATCACACTTTTTTTTTTTTTGTATATTATTATTATTATTATTGATCACACTGTATATTATTATTATTATTATTGATCACACTGTATTATTATTATTATTATTGATCACACTGTATATTATTATTATTATTATTATTATGATCACACGTTATTATTATTATTATTATTGATCTGTATATTATTATTTATATATTGTGTGTTATAATTATTTGTTATATTATGATTATTGAACACTTATTATTTTATTATTGATCACACTGTATATTATTATTATTGTTATTGATCAGTGTATATTATTATTATTATTTTATGATTATTATTATTATTGATCACAGTGTATATTATTATTATTGTTATTGATCAGTGTATATCATTATTATGTTTTTATTATTATAGTGTATATTATTATTATTATTATTGATCACACTGTATATTATTATTATTATTATTATTATTGATCACACTGTATATTATTATTATTATTATTATTATTGATCACACTGTATATTATTATTATTATTATTATTGATCACAGTGATTATAATTATAGTTATTGATCAGTGTATATTATGATTATTGATCACACTGTATATTATTATTATTATTATTATTGATCACACTGTATATTATTATTATTATTATTGATTACACTGTATATTATTATAATTATTGATCAGTGCATCTTATTATTATTATTATTGATCACACTGTATATTATTATTATTATTGATCAGTATATATTTTTATTATTATTATTATATTATATTTTAACAATTTGTATTTTATTTTTTTAATTTGTAATATAACACAATTGTTTGATTTAGTTTTATTTTTAGCATTTATTTGTATTCTTTTTTTCTTTCTCACTACTTTTTACTTTGTTTTGGAAAATGCTGTTTAAATAAAGTTATTATTATTATTATTATTATTTATTAGGTGTTATTATTATTATTCATTGTTATTATTATTATTTGTTTCTTCTTATTATAATTATTATTATTATTGCAACCTGTTATTTTATTCTAAGAACATTAATCAGTTTATTTACTTCAGATTGTCAATAAGTTGCAGTAATAAATACAAAGATACATAATGTCCAATTTAGTGAACAGATTATTGATTATAATAAAATATATAATCAATATTTTAACATTTACCGGCTGTATTCACCTGTCTGACCACCGGGTGGCAGTGTTTCAGTAACTATAGGAAATATATATACATATAAAATATATTACAGCTTAATGAAAGTGAACATGAATGAATGATTCACTCATTCACATGAACTCAACAATGAACTGTTGAATCAGTTGTTCTGAACTTTGTTTGTTCCACTGACTTTATATCATTATAACAACGTTAGAATTATAATGCTGAATAAAAAACACAGTGAAGACATCAAACGATAAATTCTTTTATTAGTCGGTTCTTTTACAAGATGTACAAAAACATAAAACCCAAACTGACATTAATAATCGATAGAACAGCAGCCAGACGACGACACGACGGTTTGAGTTCAGACTAAAAGTGAACGGTTACCTGATACCTGACAGACAGACAGGCAGACAGACAGACAGACAGACAGACAGGCAGACAGACAGACAGGCAGACAGGCAGACAGACAGGCAGACAGACAGACAGACAGACAGACAGGCAGGCAGACAGACAGAGAGACAGGCAGGCAGACAGGCAGACAGACAGACAGACAGACAGACAGACAGACAGGAAGCAGCCGCTACGATAATCTCAACAGTTTAAAAACATTCCGATGTTTCGTGGTTAGCTTAGCAGAGGTTGGTGGTATAGCTCCAATGCTAACAGCGCTACAATGTCTCCTTTATATTTCTTATGTTCAACATAAGCTAAGCTAAGCTAAGCTACATCAACCAGCTACCATAACATCAGTTAGCTACTAGCAGATAATGCTAAGCTAGGCCATCTTTAGCCTAGCTTAGCACATGCAAGAGGAGCTGAACTACAAATAGCTACCATTAGCTAACGTACGCCAACTGTAGCGACATCAACTAGCTATAAAACGTTACGATGATCATGCTAGCCGCTCTGTGACGCTGGCTAGCAGATTCTCAGTCATTGTGCTAAGCTAGGCTAAACACGTCCCAGTAAAACGTTGTTATAAACGTTGTTATAACATTAATTAGATATAACTGTTAGCTACGAACGGTTAGCATGAGTTGGTCCACGACTTAAACTAGCTAACATTATTAACAGCTAATATAATATTATGTTCCCACAAAGATAATATTTATATATTTATATATTTATATATTTATATAAATATATAAATATTGCTGCTAATGGACACGAAGGTAAAACTGAAACAAAAAGATTTTAAACGTCTTTAATGACTCTTTAGTGACTAACGGAAGAACTGGATTACAGCGACTCGATCTACTCGACTGTCTGCGTCTCTAAATCTAACAGTGAGCTAACGTTTGGACGGACATCGTACGGAGGACTTAGGATGCAACTATTATTAGTGTTATTATTATATAAATTAAATCTCAGATTTGTCTCTTTCTGATTAGCAACTTTATTTGAAGATAATTAAAAGATAAAAGTGACATAAAGTCGCGTCTCTTTTTCCTTTGCTAACTCATTAAAGGGGAACTTTAGCCATTTCTTCACTTTCACTCAGCGAGCTCCTCCTACAGCTCTGGGACGTAATATTATATATATAATAATATATATTATATATATATAATAAAATATATATATATTTTATTATATATATATATATTATATATAATAATATATAATATATATTATATATATATAATAAATTATAAATATATTTTATTATATATATTTCACAACACGTCGTAAATAACTCCCTTGCGGTCCCTCCTCCCCTTTCTACCGCTGCTGATGTGCATTTGTTGCCGGGCAACTTTTTCCTGTAGATGTCTACAAAGGTGGGTAAAACATTCATCGATAGCCGGCGTGGCTAACCGGTACTGAGGGGGGCGTGGCTAACCGGTACTGAGGGGGGCGTGGCTAACCGGTACTGAGGGGGGCGTGGCTAACTGGTACTGAGGGGGCGTGGCTAACCGGTACTGAGGGGGGGGGGGGGGCGTGGCTAACCGGTACTGAGGGGGGCGTGTGCGTTTATGTGGAATTGCCGTAAATCAGTTGAACGGGTCGGTAGTCCGAAAGTTACAAGGTTGGTTGGGGGGCGGGGCGGGGGGGGGGACAGTCACCATTAACACCGGAACAGACCATTTAACCGTCCAATGATTTCTAAACGGGTTCATTAATTTGAAATTGTTGCCAAATTCCCCTTTAAATAACGATTGATGAAAATTAACATTAACTTCCAGATGACGCTAGCTAATGATTGATTAGCAAGATACTTGCTAACATTAGCTAACTTAAGATGTGAATATCCGTCTTTTATCTTTAAACAATCTTCAAGATATGGTTGTCTTTCAAACATAGATTAGCCTAGCATATAGCATATCTACGTGCAGGAAAGGAAGAAGTTGCTCAAATGTGATTGGAGCACAGAGCAAAAAAGGGGGCGGGGCCTAGGAAGGAAACTTCAACACGAACCATCAGGAGAGGTTTTATTATATTTATGTGAAGTCCAGGATTGGTTAACGATCCGGACTCTGAAAGAACTTTTACGTAGAAAATAAGCTGCACTGATTCTGGAAGAGAAGAAATCAATAAATCACCAATAATCAGTGATTATTATTATTTCTATGCTGCTACATCATTTTGCAGGACACTGGATAAACCTTGTTGCTACGGGGAAATCAGAAAAAGAACTTCCTCTACATCGAGCACCAACAAATAATCAAACTATTCTATGTTTCTATGTACAGAACAAACTTTTAGCAAGTATTAATAAAAAACTACAGTTTGTGTGACGTTAGCATGCAGCTTCCAGGAAGAGTTTGTGTTTGTACTGAAACATTAAAAAAGAAGATAATTAATTAATTAATTACATTACTTTCTCACTGCGTGTTCACATTTTACAACATTTCACAAATCAAATGATAAATTACACGTTTTTACACATTATTGACATCAAGACACAAGAGAACAAATACACAGCAGGACAACAACAACCAAACCTACGGAAGCCCAAATACACCACAAAATAATCAAATAAAGACAGATTAAATGTTAGGAAAGACATGAATAAAGTCAAAGTTAGAATATAGTATATAGTATAAGACTCAAGCATCAGATACAAACTATTAGTTTTTAATTTACTGAATCAAAATGAACCAGGAAGTCAAAAGTATAACTTTTAAAGTAAAAATTATGAGATATTAAGTCAAAAATGACAAGATTCACTAAACCAAAGTTATGGAATAGTCTAGTATGTAAGTCGAAACATTGAGTGAATTTCTTCAGTTAGTGAGTCTAAATCCTAAATTTTTACTTTTAAGTAACTTTGACTAATAATTTCGATTTACCATGAATTTTATTTTTATTATTCTTAATTTCTTTAATACACTTTCTCCTCTTTTATGGAAGATATGGGTGGTAATTAAGTTTTATTTTTGTCACTCCTAACTTTTTAATCTTTCTTAATTTCTTGGCAGAAATTAGCTTCCATACATGGCAAAGAAACCCCGCCAAAATAAAACTCAACTGTTTCACTATACAGTTTGAGCTCTTCAACCAAACACCAAACATGAATCTGTTTGTCTGTTTGTCCGTTATAGTAAAACATGCAAGAACAACATAAGACTCTAAATGACTCATGCTAATTATCATGTAGCACAACACAGGACCCGTTATAGCTTAATCAATGTCCCGTTATTAACCACAACATATAGACTCTTTATCACTTAATCATCAAATACTAAATAAATAAATGGAATATTTTAGTTTAAATTAATGCCGCTTCGTCTGTTGTCGTTTGTCATTCAGTGTTTCAGATATTTTGTCCACACTGAAGGTTTTATTTTACTCAACAGTGTCTTATCGCCGGTGCCTGTATTTAAACTGGAATGTCTTTTATTTTGTTAATATTTGGTAAAGATCACATGCAGTCACGTCACAAACCACAAATCAACGAAATAACCTGATTCCAAACGAAACTGGATCACAGTTATTGATTATATTTTCTCATTATTTGGTCACCACGTAAATGTAAACATGGATCGGGTTTCTATCAGGATCCATTACAAACTGAAACTTGTTTATGTGCAAAAAAGACGACTGAAATATATAAAATATGAACAAAAGAAAAAGTGTTCATTCTGACCCGTCACAATAAAATAATATGTGAGACATCTTTGTTTGGTGAGTTTTGATGAATACAGATCGGTTTCTCTGCAGCCTCATTCGGACAGGATTTATCTCTCTATTTCTTATTTTATTCAGAAGAATAATTCATACTTTTAGAGCTATTTACTGTCTAGTTAATGATTAATGAATACATTTAAAGTAGAACTCAAGCAGCAAATTGAGTGGCTCCAAATCAAGAAACCAGCAGTGAAGGTGTCCCACAGGGCTCCATTCCCAGTCCTCTGCAATTCGCTATTTACATAAATAAAACACAAAATAATTTATAAATATTCGCCCCCACCACTGTTTTCTTATACACAGCTCTCGCTTGATGAAGACTCAATAATAATAACAATAATAATCTCAGGGACTAATATTAATTAATGACTACTTAGTTCAGGGCTCCCAAACTTTTTAATGCCGAGACCACCAAATAGCATTAGCTTGTGTGCTTTGGGGGTCTTTAATAATAATAATAATAATTTGAGCTCCGTCAGTCTCATTTAAAGTTAGTGACGGAGTTCTGCAGGGCTCTATCCTCGGTCCTCTTGTATTCACTGTTAAATAGACCTTTTCAGGAACAATGAGCTTTTTATATGAATCCTGTCTGAATGGGGCTGTTTAAGCTTTACTTGTTCACAACGTGCTGATCTTCCAGATCTTAAATAAAACATCTTTTCCAAACACATTTTCTACAACATGAACTTCAGCTTTCACCAAAAAACTCTGAAACTGAAAGCAACTCTGGTTCAATCTGAGCTTAAAAGTGGCACAGTGAAATCAGTCGACACACATAATCTCTCATCGGAAACGAATGCCTCTTCAAAGGTTAAAAAAGTGCTATTTAACTTCCGTAGATGTACGATTGGTTTGGTAATATAAACATACAAATATCTGTAAACGGACAGGTAGGAAAAATAAAGATGATTATTGATCATTTTCTAAATAGTTTTCTCATGCTACAAAACAAGTCTGTTAAATAATCCACATATTATAATCTTTGGACAAACACATAATAATAATAATAATAATAATAATAATAATAATAATAATGATATACAGCATTAAGCAGGAGTCAATGTATGAAAACAATCAAATGTTATCTGCTACCGTTGTCTCAACCAAGTGCAAAATATCCTTTTAATCCCGTACGCAAAAATAAGGCAAAGATTTTTAGAGCTGAAACGACTGTGTGCTTATAAATAATATATATATTATAATTATCAATACAAAACATTGGCTGCTTTTCTTTGTGTGATATCTTCTATGGAGGACTGAAACTGCCAAAATCTGAAATAAATAAATTACACTGTAAATAAATAATTGTCATTAAATGCACCAAAAATAATAAATAAAGCCATTAATATATTAATTAATTCATAAATGTGACATAAAGTGATATTTCTGGTTTAATTTGCTTCTGTATTTATTTAATTGGTCAGTAAAAAGAAGACACAGAAATAAATACATCTGGGGAAATTAATTAATGCCTATATTTAATCTTATTTTTGGTGCATTTAATGGCATTTTTATTTATTGGGTCATTAATTTATTATTATTTTTTTCTCCATAATAGTAAATAGAATAACTTTTGGTTTTTGGACCAAATGATTAATCAACTAATTGTTAAGTGATTAGTAAAACTAATAAAACTAATTTTAAGTTGCAGCTCTAAAGGATTCATGTTTTGGCAAAAAGCTAATGTGGTGATTCTCAAACGCCGGCCATCATGAGCCCGAGCTCTGGTCTTCATCCATAAACACTGCGGCAGCTGATTGTATTGATTACTGATATTTCTGATAAGGTCAAACAGCCACTGATCCCACTGCGAATCAACAGCTCCGTCCAATCAAACCGGAGCTGGAGAACAAATACTGGACGCAAACTTCTCATTAATGTTTGGTCTTTAAAAGTCCAAAATAACTGGTTTTGCTACACTTTTTATATATTTATTATATTATCATCGATTTTTATGTTGGACCTTTGACCAAAAACTGGACATGCTGGAATTTGAATCTGTAAAACACATTTGCTTGACCATTATTAGTTATTATTAACTATTGAGGAAAAACTCAGATTATACAAATAAAAATGTACTTTTGTTCTTTCTGTGTGTTTTGTTTTTAACATTTTGTTGTCTGCAGTTCTGTGATTGGCCACTAGAGGGCGACAGTTACTGTAAACAGCAGAGGAAAATAAATAAGAACATTTAGAGAACCATGATATTTAAATTTGATCTGGAGATACTTAACGTTTATATTTTATGCTACTTCATTCTTCTAATCCAACAATTTAAATCCACTACATTCATTTAAGTTTACATAAAATAAAATGTAACATTTTTATACATTAAACTACATTTACGTTCTCAATACGACTCGATGGCTGTTCTGCATTGGAAGAAGTTTTGATATATTAAATACATTTGACTGATAATTCTTCTGTTTGAATGCAGGACTTTAACATGTAACTGAGTATTTGTACTCGTGGTGTTACTGAAGTAAAGAATCAGAGTACTGGCAGCGACCGTTTGTTATTTTAGAAGCAGTGCTTCCAGTTGGACTCTTGGATCATGATGGTGGATGTTTGCTCAGTAAATCAACGCGCTGCTCAGTGACGACCTGCAGGAAGAGTCTTTACTTTGTGAATTCAACAATCTTATTGCTTTTCCCTCCAGAACTCACTGACGTCTGTGGCGTTCGGGTGACAACGTCTCGGCGGCGCCGTCCCACTAAACGGAGCGATGCGACAAGCGGACATCAGGACAGCAACATGTATGAGGGCAGCTGGATGGGTGACGGCAATCCCACAATCCCACGCTTCCCAGCGAGGTCACTTCCTGTGCGAGCCTCAGGCCCTGGTGAAGCTGGGGACGACCAGAACTACAATGGCTGCCACGGCAACCGCTGCCACCGCCAGGTTCCAGCCTTCAGCGTCGCTCTGCTGAGGAAGAGATGAGATAATGTCAGCGGACAAACTGAGCTCGTTCACCGCTTTCTGAAACCAACGACAAATAAATATTAAATACTGAAAACTAATAAGAACATAAATATTAAATAGTAATTAAACCCCAAAACAACTATCGATATCTGTGTATTTAGTAATGTTGAATGTTTTTGATTGATTCAGGTTCAAATCAGGACATTTTAGTGCGACCGCCCTCTACTTGCTGATCTGAACTTCGTCACCAACCAACGTCTTTACTCTGCAGACAGCATACTGCTACGTAGCCGTTAGCTTGACAGTCTGCCACAGACACCGGAGCGTTAGCCTCTAGCTTAGCTACAAACAGGTAGCACAAAGAAAACTTTAACAGCACGAATGTGCTTCTAGTGACTGTAAAAGCTCTAGCGGACACAGAGTCTGACAGCAGCTGCTCATGGCTGGTTAGCACTGTTAGCACTGTTAGCTCTGTTAGCTCTGTTAGCTCTCTGTCAGTGGTTGGTGTTACCTCCCATGTGACACACTCCGTAGCAACGTCATATATAAAGATAGAGTTGAAGAATTAGACATAAAAGCTCATATGGAGCCAGGACGGTGACTTTAAAATTTGGCATCTAAAAAAAATTTAGGAAACAGTGGCATTGAAACATTTGTATTGAAAACAGTTGTATTGGCATTGAAACAAGAAACTAATTAAAATAATTAAAATCTTAAAATCTTATTGTTTTATTTTATTGATATTTTTTTGTATTTTTCAAAGCCGTCCGCTCTGAAGCCTCTGGCATTGTGGCATTTCTAAAATGTCCTGTTCACTTCCAAACCCAAGTAAAGCCCTATTTGCACAGGACTAGTATTACCTGGGGACCACATGTGATTTGTAATAATTGTGCAGGTCGTCTGTGATCTTAATCCCGTGCAAATCTGCCATGTCCGTAATTTGTAAAGTAAAAATTCCACCACAAATTACCTACCATATTTCTCCAAACAGAGGTCATGCGATTATATTAGTCCTGTGCGAATCGGCATTTCTGTGATTTGGGGTCGTTTTTTGTTTTTTTAAGGTTTTTTGTGTTTTACAAGCCTTTTTTCTGCCTTTTTCCCTGTCGAGAATTATGGAGGCTGCATTGGCAATTATAAATGAAAGTTTTGACAGCATTTTGATGTTTGTGGGCATGCTGGGAAAACAGCAGACGGACACTGATGTGAGATAGATGTTCGAGCCGTTCGGCAGCATAGAGAAGTGCACGGTGCTCCGCGGGCCCGACGGTACCAGCAAAGGTAACGTCAGATCAGTAGATAATGTCACTAAATTCGAGTTAAAACACAGACTTTGTTTATCCCGTGTGAATGCGCCGCATGGAACACAGACGTGGTGGGGTAACAAGTCAGACCCCTCCTCTCAACGCCAAAACAGTGACGGAAAATTTAAACTGAAAATCCGTGACACTGAAAAAAAACTGACATTGTAAAAAAATCTGTCACTGAAAAAAGAGTGACATGAAGAAAACATTTGAAGATTGTCATTGAAAAATACAAAAGAATCCCAATAAAATAAAATAATAAGATTTTAAGATTTTAATTATTTTAATTAGTTTCTTTTTTCAGTGCCAATACTTGTTTCAATGCCAATACAACTGTTTTCAATATAAATGTTTCAATGCCAATGTTTCCTCTTTCAGTACTGGTTTTGTTTTCAATGCCAATTTTTTTTTGGATGCCAAATTTTAAAGTAACCGTCCTGGCTCCATAGGCTCAATAATGACACAATAAGTAAAACAGTCACATAATATTGTACAAAAGTCAAATTTATGATACGTTTTTATGAGATTTTTTATTTCTATCATTATAAGTTTGACCTCCTTCACTCAGACTTTAAGCTACTGCCCTCTGGTTTCAGACAACCAGCAGCCAAAGCTAACAGATATAAACTCTCCTTTTGTGCTGTCACTGATGGCACTGGACCTTGTTTTTATGTATTTATGTGTTTTAATATCTCACGTATGAAGGTTTTTATCCGTATGTCTCTCTCTGTGTTTTATTGCTACTGTGTCCCCTCGTGGAAAAATAAAGGTCTGAAACTTTGAACTTAATTCTGTTTTCTGGCAGTAAAAAGCTTCCATACACACATTATAACAGAGTGATTTGTTAGAGATTTTAGCAGTAATGTTGGAGGCCGTTCTCTGACTGACTGGCAGCCTCCCGACATTCACATTCACCCTCTCAGCACAGAAACCTACAGACCAAGTCCTCACTCCGCCTCTTTGCCCTGAAGTGTGTTTAATGTGTTTCTGTAACCATGAAATTGCAGCGGTGGTGTCTGATGTGCAGCGGCCCAGAGTGGCTTTTTCCCATTAGCTCACATAGCGGATAATTCGCAGTCACAACCCGGAGAAATGACTCGACTCGCTGTAAGGATGGATCCATTTGCTCTGGTAACATTTGGAAAGAACAGCTGCACCATCACATCATTTGATTGAAGTTAGCGGCGCGGCTGTAGCTTGCTCTCGAACTAGCTATAAACACTTCAGACAACCGTTTATTTCCTAGCACAACCCAACGTTAGCGATGTGCAGCATGTCCCCGGGACCAAAGTATCAGAGGATTGTTGCAACACGGACCTTTTCTCTTGTAACATAGGAAGTCTCTGCCTGCTGCACTGCTGCATATGCTAACTGTGCTAGCTGCTATTAGCTAGTTAGCGGTCCTATTAGCTGTCTGTACCTGGACTGCGAGCTGCAAGGACAGGGGGAGTTTAAACACTGCTAGTGTAGGAGCAGAGGGACCCAGCGGGGTATACTGCCGGTGAGTGGGGCCTAAATGAGCCACAGAACCAGAGAGGGGCGGACCGACGGAGGCCAGCTGATGTCCAGCGGCTTCAACCAGGACAGTTTGTAGCCAGTTCATTAGTCAGTAACTGTTAACGTCATCCATCATCCATCGTATCGATCAGCCAGGATTAGTTTCAGTGAAGTTGTAATTTATTTATTCTGTGTGTTGAACAACCAGACTGTGTGATGTTACACTGTGTTGCTGCTTGTTCTGATTCACAATCATTACTGCTGATTAACAGAATATAATCAATATAATTCAGAAACATTTGAGAATTGGTCAAGTAGGACAATCTTCAGTCGGGGCAGCTCTATATCTGGTATCGGTTGTTGTCAGGCGGTAAAGTTGTGTCGAGACTACAAACATACAAAAGACAGTTGTTGTTGAGAGGATACAGAAGGACTCTGATAATATCTTTAATTGGACCACAGCTTGGTCTGAGGCCTTTAAATGAAATAAGGTCATTAAACTGCAACAGATTAAACTCATAGAAATCAGTCCATACAAACAAGGAACAACTCCTGTACAACAGCTGGGATGTAACCCCACAGTTCAGCTGCTCTCGGATACTAAAAGAAGCAGAGCGTCTGGTAGAGAAAGAAGGGCGTGGCCATACCTGGTCCCTTCTAGGACGCCAGCTCCTCCCACCAGCACCAAATCAAGGCCACTATTACAATCATTCCTATGAAGGGGATGGAGAGAACAGGGGGCTCAGACGGACGAGTGCAGTTCTGGGGAAAAGACAAAAGGTAGGAGTGTAGGGAGGCATGGAGAGATTGGTGTGGTAGAGAAAATAAAACCATAAAATAATCAGAATAATAAAATCGGAACGTGTCGGGAAGAAAGAGCGAGCGTGGAGCAAAATAATGGACAGAAAAACAGAAACAGATTGACAGGCATCATCAAAAAACATCAAATTTACACAGAATTTGATTTGGTTGATCGTGTAAAGTTCGTGTGAAACGAAGGTTACAGATAAAAACGATGGAAGAAAGAGAGGAAACAGGAAGAGCAGGCGGTTAGAGGACGACATCAAAGATGGTTAAAGACGAGATGGAGAGTTCTGACCAGAGTGAAGTTAACAACATCCACTTCCTGTCGTTTAAAGATCTTTGCCTTCAGCATCAGCAGCACTGCATTGTGGGTAACGGGTTAACCACGAGATAAATTACAACAACGGAGAACGAGAATGTGAGAGAATGATTTAATGGAGAGGGGCAGAGGTTGGACCGACTCAAGAGCACAATCCCCAGTTTAGTCTCAAGTCCCATGTCAAGCTCCAAGTCCGGTCCCACATCGAGACAGGGACGAGTCTCAAGTCCAGTCTCAGAGAGGCCAGACCCGTGTTAAGTCTCCAGCTGTGATACTCAAGTCCTGAGTCGAGCTACCACATCAAGACAGGTCAGTCCCCAGTCTCAAGTCAATCCCAAGTCAAGAAGGTGAACCCAATCTGATCTCGAATGCTGACATTAAAGTCGTGGTGAGTCCAAAGTAAAGTTCCAGTTCAGGTCTCGGGCAGGTCTTATGTCAAGTGTCGACACTCAACAAACCCAGATAGGTAGGATCCATGTTTAGACTCAAGTCTTAACATTCAGTCAAGTTCTAAAGGTTCCAGAGAACTCTAGTCTAGTTTCAAGCTCACTCAAGTCACAGGTCTCTCAAGTCAAGAAAGTCGAATTCAAAGTAAAGTCCCAAATCGGTTAAGTCTCCAGTCCAGGACTAGGTCTTAACATTAAATCAATCAAACTCATAAGTCACGCAAGTAAAATTTTGTTTCGAAACTGGAGTCCTATGTGCAGTTTCATGTTTGTTCAGGTTCTCATTAGTTGGGGATCAGTCTTGTCTCAAGTGAAGTTGACACTGACAGTCCTCGGCTCTGTGATTGGGGGGCAGTACCCAACCCTGAAGTTGAGTCCATCAGTAGAGTCTGTTATTGAATGTGTGTCTGTAGTCGGTCCCTCTGGAGAGCAGTGAGTGGATCAGAACCCAAACTCTCTTTAAGGAGATGATCAGATCAATCAGTTGGACCTTCACTGTCGGTTACGCCTCACTGCTTTCTTACTGTCTGACAGCTGAATGAACCTCTAACTCCCTGGAGGCTGAGCGGAGGAGAGAGTACAAACAGACAGATGACGGAAACAAACTGCCCAGCAGCCACAGAAGAAAAAGAAAACCAGCCACATGAGCAGAGCTACAGACGCCGCAAACCAGGAAGCACAATGACAGATGAGGCAACCAGTGAGCGCCGGCCGCACCGCCGCCGACCCACATGCACACAGACGGACACACTTCATGGTACAAATCATGGATCGGAAGGATTTCGTCGAATAGGTTTCAGGGTGTGTTGATCGAGACTTTCACCCTGAATGTTACCTGATACCCAGCACATAAAGTCACGAATCATACAGGTGAACCAAACAGAGCCGTTGACCTTTGACCTCTCACCTGTGACTTCCTGGCCTTCAGTTTCTGTAGCTCGGACTTGCAGCGCTGCAGTTCCTGCTCCAGCTCCACTCGCTCCCGCTGGCTGCTGTCGTACAGCTGCTGCAGCTCCAGCAGGTCGTCCTTCAGCCCGTCGCACTGACAGAGAGACAGACAGGTCGAAGCTCACTGACTCATAAAGCAGCAGTTTAGAAACACTGTTGTTGTTGTTGTTGTTGTTGTTGTTGAAGGAAACCCAGATATATATTGTTATGTAATATAAAATGTATACAGTAGGTGGAACAGTTCCTCTTCCTGAGGCTGCAGTCTGTAACTTCACCACTAGATGTCACTAAATCCTTCACACTGGTCCTTTAAACCGGAGTGAGTCGGTTAGCAAGATACTAATAATAGAACGCAGAGCTAGCTAGCTTGCTATCAGTTAGCTTGATTGCTAATTGAACAGAAACAACTCTTAAAAAAATCCTTCAGCAGGACTCAGTTTATCCTCCAAATAAACCCACGTTTATATAATCTATATAATATATGATCTAATACATAATCTATATAATGTATATAATCTAATACATAATCTAATATATAATCTGATATATAATCTATCTAATATATAATCTCATATATAATCTATATAATATATATAATCTAATACATAATCTAATATATAACCTGATATATAATCTATCTAATACATAATCTAATACATAATCTAATATATAACCTGATATATAATCTATCTAATACATAATCTAATATATAATCTAATATATAATCTGATATATAATCTATCTAATACATAATCTAATATATAATCTAATATATAATCTGATATATAATCTATCTAATACATAATCTAATATATAACCTGATATATAATCTATCTAATACATAATCTAATATATAATCTGATATATAATCTATCTAATACATAATCTAATACATAATCTAATATATAACCTGATATATAATCTATCTAATACATAATCTAATATATAATCTAATATATAATCTGATATATAATCTATCTAATACATAATCTAATATATAATCTGATACATAATCTATATAATATATATAATCTAATACATAATCTAATATATAATCTGATATATAATCTATCTAATATATAATCTCATATATAATCTATATAATATATATAATCTAATACATAATCTAATATATAACCTGATATATAACCTGATATATAATCTATCTAATATATAATCTAATATATAATCTAATACATAATCTATATAATATATATAATCTAATATATAATCTAATACATAATCTATATAATATATATAATCTAATATATAATCTAATAGATAATCTGATATATAATCTATCTAATATAAAACGTTTGTTACCTCTCTCTGAACTTTGTGAGCCGTCTCTTCAGCTTCTCTCAGCTGGACCTTCAGGACGCTGCAGACCTCCTCCTCCTCCAGGACCACCGAGGAGTCTGGATCCACCGAGTAGTCCGGATCCACCGAGTAGTCCGGATCCACCGAGGAGTCCGGGTCCTTGGGGGGTCCGGACTGAGACAGGCTGATGTAAGAGTCGGCCTTCACCTCCTGCACGCGCTCAGTGTCGCCCTCCGCTCTGACTGCCAGATACACATCATCAGACCTGCTGACAGGAAGTCCTGATGAGACGCTATTGATCTGTGTGGACCCTGTACTGATCTATAGACCCTGTATTGATCTGTGTGGACCCTGTATTAATCTGTAGACCCTGTATTGATCTGTGTGGACCCTGTATTAATCTGTAGACCCTGTATTAATCTGTAGACCCTGTATTAATCTGTGTGGACCCTGTATTGATCTGTGTGGACCCTGTATTAATCTGTAGACCCTGTATTAATCTGTAGACCCTGTATTGATCTGTGTGGACCCTGTATTAATCTGTAGACCCTGTATTAATCTGTAGACCCTGTATTGATCTGTGTGGACCCTGTATTGATCTGTGTAGACCCTGTATTGATCTGTAGACCCTGTATTAATCTGTGTAGGCCCTGTAGTGATCTGTGTGGACCCTGTATTGATCTGTAGACCCTGTATTGATCTGTGCGGACCCTGTATTGATCTGTGTAGACCCTGTATTGATCTGTGGACCCTGTACTGATCTGTGTGGAACATGTAATGATATCGCTCAAGTTGGCAAGATGATCTTAAGATTTATAGAAAGGCCCTCCGTAATGCCAGAGGAGCCTATTACTCAGCACTAATAGAAGAAAATAAGAACAACCCTAGGTTCCTCTTCAGCACTGTAGCCAGGCTGACAGAGAGTCACAGCTCTATCGAGCCACATATCCCCATAAACTTAACTAGCAATGACTTCATGAGCTTCTTCTATAATAAAATTATTACTATTAGAGAAAAAATTAATCACCAACTGCCATCAACAGTTATCAGTGGCTCTCCAAGTTCAGGGACTTCTGTCAATGTAAACTTAGATGTATATTTAGACTGTTTTTCTGCTATCGATCTTCATCAGTTAACTTCAATCATTTCTTCATCGAAGCCATCAACCTGTCTGTTAGACCCGATCCCAACTAGGCTGCTTAAAGAAGTTGTTCCCTTAATTGGCACTTCTTTACTGGATATGATTAATCTTTCTTTATTATCAGGATATGTACCACAGTCCTTTAAAGTAGCTGTAATTAAACCCCTTCTTAAAAAGTCTACTCTTGACCCAGGGGTTTTAGCCAACTATAGACCGATTTCTAACCTCCCGTTCCTCTCTAAGATTCTGGAGAAAGTAGTCGCCAAAGAGTTGTGTGACTTTCTACATAACAATAGTTTATTTGAGGATTTTCAGTCAGGATTTAGAGTTCATCATAGCACAGAGACAGCTCTGGTTAAAGTTAATAATGACCTTCTGACTGCTTCTGACAATGGACTTGTCTCTGTACTTGTATTATTAGATCTTAGTGCTGCATTTGACACCATTGACCATGATATTCTTTTACAGAGACTTGAGCATCAAATTGGCATTAAAGGAACTGCCCTAACCTGGTTTAAGTCATACTTATCAGATCGTACTCAGTTTGTACATGTTAACGATGAATCCTCCATAAATACTAAAGTTAGTCATGGAGTTCCACAAGGTTCTGTACTTGGACCAATACTATTTACTTTATATATGCTCCCTTTAGGCAACATTATTAGGAATCACTCCATTAACTTTCACTGTTATGCAGATGATACGCAGTTATATCTATCAATCAAACCCAATGAAATTAATCAATTATCTAAATTACAAACATGTCTTAAGGACATAAAATCCTGGATGACCTGCAATTTTCTGATGTTAAACTCAGAAAAAACCGAAATTCTTGTTCTTGGCCCCAAAAACCTTAGAGACTCATTGTCTAAAGATATAGTCACTCTAGACGGCATTAACTTGGCCTCTAGCACCACTGTCAGGAATCTTGGAGTTATCTTTGATCAGGATTTGTCATTTAACTCCCACATAAAGCAGACCTCTAGGACTGCCTTCTTTCATTTACGTAATATTAGAAAAATTAGACACATACTATCACAGACAGATGCAGAAAAACTAATCCATGCATTTGTTACTTCAAGGCTGGATTACTGCAACTCTTTATTATCAGGTTGCCCCAATAAGTCCATTAAAACGCTCCAATTAATTCAGAACGCTGCAGCACGAGTACTGACAGGAACTAGAAAAAGAGATCACATCTCTCCTGTACTAGCTACTCTGCATTGGCTCCCTATAAAATGTAGAATTGAATTTAAAATACTCCTCCTCACCTATAAAGCTCTTCACGGTCAGGCCCCTTCATATCTTAAAGAGCTCATAGTACCCTATTACCCCACTAGAACACTACGTTCTCTGAATGCTGGGCTACTTGTGGTTCCTATAGTCTCTAAAAAGTAGAACAGGAGCCAGAGCCTTCAGTTACCAAGCTCCTCTCCTGTGGAACCAGCTTCCAGTTGTGGTTCGGGAGGCAGACACCCTCACCACATTCAAGAGTAGGCTTAAGACATTCCTCTTTGATAAAGCTTATAGTTAGGGCTGGATCAGGTGAGTCCTGAACCATCCCTTAGTTATGCTGCTATAGGCCTAGACTATCGGGGGATTTCCCATGGTGCACTGAGCTACTCTCTTCCTCTCTCTTTCTGCACTCATTCATGTCCCTTTAATGCATGTTACTAACTCCACTTCTTCCCCGGAGTTCTTGTGCTTTCTCGTCTCGCAGGTTCTCATGGATCCTGGTGGAGCCTCCTGCCATGGTCCTGCTTGACTGCCATTGCCAATACTGTTGTTGCTGTGCACCTGTCTGTCTGTCTGTCGCTCTCTCTCTCTCTCTCTCTCTCTCTCTCTCTCTCTCTCTCTCTCTCACCCCAACTGGTCGAGACAGACGACCACCCACCTAGAGCCGGAGGATCTGTCCTAGGTTTCTGCCTTTTAACAGGCAGTTTTTCCTTGCCCTTGTCGCCAAGTGCTTGCTCATGGTGGTACTGTTGGGTCTCTGTAATTAATGTTAAAGAGTTCGGTCTAGACCTGCTCTATTTGAAAAGTGTCCTGAGATAACTTCTGTTATGAATTGGCGCTATACAAATAAAATTGAATTGAATTGAATTGAATCTGTATGGACCCTGTATTGATCTGTGGACCCTGTATTGATCTGTGGACCCTGTATTGATCTGTGTGGACCCTGTATTAATCTGTAGACCCTGTATTAATCTGTAGACCCTGTATTAATCTGTGTGGACCCTGTATTGATCTGTGTGGACCCTGTATTGATCTGTGTAGACCCTGTATTGATCTGTAGACCCTGTATTAATCTGTGTAGGCCCTGTAGTGATCTGTGTGGACCCTGTATTGATCTGTAGACCCTGTATTGATCTGTGCGGACCCTGTATTGATCTGTGTAGACCCTGTATTGATCTGTGGACCCTGTACTGATCTGTGTGGAACATGTAATGATCTGTATGGACCCTGTATTGATCTGTGGACCCTGTATTGATCTGTGGACCCTGTATTGATCTGTGTGGACCCTGTATTGATCTGTGGACCCTGTATTGATCTGTGGACCCTGTATTGGTCTGTGTAGACCCTGTATTGGTCTGTGTAGACCCTGTATTGATCCATGTAGACCCTGTATTGATCTGTGTAGACCTTGTATTGATCTGTGGACCCTGTATTGATCCGTGTAGACCCTGTATTGATCTGTAGACCCTGTATTGATCTGTGTGGACCCTGTATTGATCTGTGTGGACCCTGTATTGATCTGTGGATGCAGGTTGATTGACAGCCTGTTGGACCACTCACGTGTCTCGTTGCTGCAGTTGCTCCACTTTGTTGCTCAGGTCTGAGTTGAGGCTGCAGAGAGTCTGACGCTCATCCATCAGAGAGACCAGCTCCTCCTGCAGCTGACTCACATCAGCTGCACTCATTGATCATTGATTATTGATGGTGCGGAGGAGAGGAGAGGGTTAATCCCTAACAGATATTACATCACCAACAGCAGTTATATTTGATGTAGAGCAGTGATACCGTGGGCCGCAGCGTTGTGGTCGTTGTGGCTCTTCATGCTGATCTCGGCTCTCAGGGAGGTGACTTCCAGCTCGTACTCCTGCGCCGTGGCGTGGAGGCGCTGCAGCTCGGCCCGCAGCCGACACAGCTCCTCCTGCATGGAGGCGATGTCGTTCTCCCTCTCGCCCGCCGCCTCCTCCGCCGCCTGCTGCAGCACCAGCACCTCCTCCTGGGCCGAACGGAGCTCCTCCTGCACCTCCTCCAGCTCGCTCTCCTTCTCCTCCTCCAGGCTGTCCATCTCCTCCTGCACTGACCGCAGCTGAGCTGCAGGAGGAGGTGCAGCACGTATCAGATATTCACATTTATATTTTAAATGAAGACATTTTGGAAAGTTATAAAAAAAATTGCAAATACTCATTTATGCAGAAAGTTTTGGACATTTTTGGAAAAAAAACTACATTTTCAGAAAGTTTTATAATTGAGGACATTTGTTGGAATATGAAAACTTAAAAGTGAAGATGTTTCAGTTTTCAAAAATAGTGATTTGTAAAAAAAATTATTTGTGGAAGATAATTTATATAATAAAGTATTTACAGTGTTTACCGTAGTTTTATTTACAGTAGTTTTACAGAATGAAGTTACTTTAATTTTGTGATACTTGGATTACTATCTGTATATTTTAACAGGAACACTGAACAACTGATTCCAGTTGTGATTAATCGATCAGTGATCGGTTATCAATAACAAGCATCGGTACCTTGCAGTCTCTGGATCTGTCTGGTGAAACTCTCGGCCTGGTGAGCGCTCGCCAGCCGCTCATCTTCTAACAGACCTGAGATCAGAAAGTGAAACACATTAACAACAATGATCCTGACAGTAGTGGAGGAAGTAATCAGATACTTTACTTCAGTAAAAGTACCACAAGTTAAGTATCATCAGTAGAAAATACATGTTTACTATAAATCAATATTTAGCTCTGAGATACAGTTTGTATGGAGGACCGAAACCGCCAAAATCAAAAACAAATAAATGACTCAATAAATAAACAACATTAAAATAAATATAGACATTCATTCATTTATAATTATGTGAATAAATAAATTTACCTCGTAAGTAAACAGACACAAATGATACAGAAATATGAATTTATACATTAATTAATGTAATATTTATTTATTTGACAGGTCATTTATTAATTTTTATTTATTTTTTATATTTAAGTATAATTCTTTTTTTTAAATTCCCTTTTTGATGTTGGCACTCATGGTCCTCCGCAGTAACAGTATAAAATACTACAGTACTCTCAAGATGTACAAAGTAAACGAGTAATACAGTAATACAGTAACAGAGTAATAGAGTAATAGAGTACTCGAGTACCAACCCTGCAGCTCGAGGAAACCCTCCTCGTGTCTCTGGGAAACCTCTCTGGTCTCTTCCAGCTCCAGCAGCAGCTGTAACACCTGAGCTCTCAGCTCCTCCAGCTCCTCCTCTTCATCCTTCACTCCTCCTTGTTCCTCTTCTTCTTCCTCTTCCTCCTCTTCCTCTTCCTTCTCCTTCTCCTCCGTCACCTCCTTCTCTTCCTCCTGCTGGCCTTTCTCTCCGTCTCCCACCGGCTCCTCCTTCTCCTCCAGGGACTCTCTCTCTTTGGCCGTCAGAGTTTCAGCCAACATGATCGGCTTCTCTGCCTTCAGCTCACACAGCTCATCTTCACAGAGGAAGAGGAGGAGGAAGAGGAGGAGGAGGAGGAGGAGGAGGAGGAGGAGGGTTAACCACCAGAGAGAACACACACCAACACACCATTATTAATATTATTAGTGTCAAATATTAATATAAGTTTTAACTGTTATTAAGAGGAGGACGAATGTCTCCACCTGCTGGAGAAAAAGGATGTTTGTTTGTTTACAAAAAGAAAATCTGTATTAATATAATAATGAATATAATAGTTAATATAATGATTAATATAATAATTAATATTATGATTATTATAATGTCAGATATTTTGTCTGTATTAATATTCTTTCATTACAGGTTTTTTCTCTGCTGCTGAGAATAATTCAGACTATAATGAAGAAAATCAGCTGAAAATGTAAGAAATAATAATAATAATTCACAGTTAAAGGTAATTTTACATGAATTATTATAATAATTATTATTATTAATTATATATTTATAATTATTATTAATTATATATTATATATTATTATCATTATTATTATTATTGTTGTTGTTGTTATTAATAATTATATATTATAATTATTATTATTATAAATAATTATATATTATAATTATTATTAATTATATATTATATTTATTATTATTATAAATAATAATAATTATTATTATTATTAATAATTGTATATTATATATTATAATTATTATTATGCTTTATCACTCCAACGAGATCCTGAGTAAAAACTGACTCAATGAAATCCTCCCATCATCCCTCCTGCTGCTGCCGTCACTGCATATAAAAATAGATCCTCTTCTTCATCATCATCATCATCATCTTCCTCTTCCTGCCAGCTGTTTCTCTCTTTGAACCTTTAAGTCATTTTTGCTAGCTAGCTAACTAACGTAGTAAAATACTGTCAGCTAGCTTCATCCAGACTTCAGTTCACTGAACGACCACTGGTGGCGCTGTTAGCTACAGTTTAATGAACGACCACTGGAGGCGCTGTTAGCTACAGTTTAATGAACGACCACTGGTGGCGCTGTTAGCTACAGTTTAATGAACGACCACTGGTGGCGCTGTTAGCTACAGTTTAATGAACGACCACTGGTGGCGCTGTTAGCTACAGTTTAATGAACGGCCACTGGTGGCGCTGTTAGCTACAGTTTAATGAACGACCACTGGTGGCGCTGTTAGCTACAGTTCACTGAACGACCACTGGTGGCGCTGTTAGCTACAGTTCACTGAACGACCACTGGTGGCGCTGTTAGCTACAGTTTAATGAACGACCACTGGTGGCGCTGTTAGCTACAGTTTAATGAACGGCCACTGGTGGCGCTGTTAGCTACAGTTTAATGAACGGCCACTGGTGGCGCTGTTAGCTACAGTTTAATGAACGGCCACTGGTGGCGCTGTTAGCTACAGTTTAATGAACGGCCACTGGTGGCGCTGTTAGCTACAGTTTAATGAACGACCACTGGTGGCGCTGTTAGCTACAGTTTAATGAACGACCACTGGTGGCGCTGTTAGCTACAGTTCACTGAACGACCACTGGTGGCGCTGTTAGTTACAGTTCACTGAACGGCCACTGGCGGCGCTGTTAGTTACAGTTCACTGAACGGCCACTGGCGGCGCTGTTAGGTACAGTTTAATGAACGACCACTGGTGGCGCTGTTAGGTACAGTTTAATGAACGACCACTGGTGGCGCTGTTAGTTACAGTTTAATGAACGACCACTGGTGGCGCTGTTAGTTACAGTTTAATGAACGGCCACTGGTGGCGCTGTTAGTTACAGTTTAATGAACGACCACTGGTGGCGCTGTTAGTTACAGTTTAATGAACGACCACTGGTGGCGCTGTTAGTTACAGTTTAATGAACGGCCACTGGTGGCGCTGTTAGTTACAGTTTAATGAACGACCACTGGTGGCGCTGTTAGCTACAGTTTAATGAACGACCACTGGAGGCGCTGTTAGCTACAGTTTAATGAACGACCACTGGTGGCGCTGTTAGCTACAGTTCACTGAACGGCCACTGGTGGCGCTGTTAGTTACAGTTCACTGAACGGCCACTGGTGGCGCTGTTAGCTACAGTTTAATGAACAACCACTGGTGGCGCTGTTAGGTACAGTTTAATGAACAACCACTGGTGGCGCTGTTAGCTACAGTTTAATGAACGACCACTGGTGGCGCTGTTAGGTACAGTTTAATGAACAACCACTGGTGGCGCTGTTAGCTGCAGTTTAATGAACGACCACTGGTGGCGCTGTTAGCTACAGTTTAATGAACGACCACTGGTGGCGCTGTTAGCTACAGTTTAATGAACAACCACTGGTGGCGCTGTTAGGTACAGTTTAATGAACGACCACTGGTGGCGCTGTTAGCTACAGTTTAATGAACGACCACTGGTGGCGCTGTTAGCTACAGTTTAATGAACGGCCACTGGTGGCGCTGTTAGCTACAGTTTAATGAACGACCACTGGTGGCGCTGTTAGCTACAGTTTAATGAACAACCACTGGTGGCGCTGTTAGCTGCAGTTTAATGAACGACCACTGGTGGCGCTGTTAGCTACAGTTTAATGAACGACCACTGGTGGCGCTGTTAGTTACAGTTTAATGAACGACCACTGGTGGCGCTGTTAGCTACAGTAACATAGAGATTGTAGAAACCTGCAGTAAATATTGTTGTTGTTGTTGTTTATCAAACATTTTCTAAAAGGCTTTTATTGTGAAACGTGCAGAAAGACTTCAGATCATTAATGTTATTAATGTTAATGATGATAATAATGATCAATAAATGAAGCATATAGGACTGACCGGACGCATCCAGGACCTCCTCTATGACGGGCGGCAGGCGGAAGCTGTCCATTTTGGGGGTCGATGGGGGAGACGCTGCTGCAGAGAGACGGAGGATGAGAGTGGTGAGGAGGGGGGAGGGTGAGGCAGACGGAGCCCAGAGAGGCTCTTCAAGCTCCGGACAGACGGAGCCGCTGCAGCTGCTTCATCCTCCTGGAGCCTGGAGGGGAGAGAGAGAGGGGGGGGGAAAAAGAGAGGGGGGGGAGAGAGAGAGAGAGAGAGAGAGAGAGGGAGAGAGAGGGGGAGAGAGAGAGAGAGAGAGAGAGGGGAGAGAGAGAGAGAGAGAGAGAGAGAGAGAGAGAGAGAGAGAGAGAGAGGGTAAGGAACTGCGACAGCTCCACCAGCACTGAATCACATGATACTCATCGTCTGTCTGTAAATACTACAATACCCATGAGCCTCAGCTGTTGTTGCTATGGAGACACAGTTAAAATCTGACAGTAAACTCAACGTTTTATTTTGAAATCTCTTCACAGTAAAACAGCTCATCTTCATAAAACATTCACCTGTTAGCTTAGCTTCAGTCTGTTAGCATGTTAGCTGTTATCCAGCCACATTGTTTCCATCCACTGTTCAGGTCTCTTTAACTCTAGATTGGAACCGGATGAAGGATTTTAGACAGAGAAACAAGCTAAGCTAACGTTAGCAGCAGTTGGCTCAGTCTGTTAGCATACTGAGCTAATGTTAGCAGCAGAATAATAAATATTATGTCACATATGAAGATGCCTGATTATCAGTTATTAATGAACAGGGAGGCGTCAGAAACTGTTAATTAGCTTACAGTTAATCGTCCATTAATATAACGAGCGCCTCATTTTAATATTTTACACACAACCAATAACAGGATCAATAAAGATCTATAATAACATATTGAATATGTGACAGTGGATCTGTTGGTTATATTCTGTATTATTAACCATTATTAACCTGTAAAGAACAGTAATATATATTATATTTCTGTACAAGCAGCATTGTACTGAGGCTGAGTACTGGAGTAAAAGTACTCAGTTACTTTGTTTCCCTCTGTGTGACCTTCCTTTGTGTTCGTCCTCTGATGGAAACATCCTCTCTGTCGTCTCTGCTCATATTAACAGTAACATCCTCCACAGCCCGCTGCAGCCAATCAATCAATCAGTCGATCAATAAATACCTGATGCTGAGATGCTGCTGCTGTGTGTCTTTGTGGAGTTCTCTGCAGACCTCGTCCTCCCCCTCTTCCTCCTCCTGTTGTCCTATATTTCCTCCTCAGCATCAGCTCCTCTGGCTGTGATGCAGAGCGACGTCACACATTCAGTGAATAACAGGAAACTGCAGGATCCATTAACTGTTTCCTGTCAGCCTTCATCAGGGGACACAGGACGAAGCTGATAATCAATATCCTCATCAATCAGTCACAGGACGAAGCTGATAATCAATATCTTTATCAATCAGTCACAGGACGAAGCTGATAATCAATATCTTTATCAATCAGTCACAGGACGAAGCTGATAATCAATATCTTTATCAATCAGTCACAGGACGAAGCTGATAATCAATATCCTCATCAATCAGTCACAGGACAAAGCTGATAATCAATATAATATAATAAGTATATATATATAATATTTATTATATATTATATATATAATATATATAAAATATACATATATATTATTTATTATATATATTTATATATTAATATATATAATAAATAATATATATATAATATATATATAATAAATGTATATATATATATATTATATTATATAAATATATATAATAAATATAATATTTATTATATATATTATATATTTATATATTATATTATATATATATATATTTATATATATAAATATACTTATATATATATATATATAATATATAAATTTATAGTTAATTTTATAGTTAATAATCATTAAAATATAAAATATATCATATATAGATTTATGTATTATTGATCTATATAATATATAATATAATAATATATTATATATTTATATATTATATATAATATATAAGTATATAATAATATTAATATATATTTATTATATAAGTATATATATATATTTATTATATATTTATATGATATATAAATATATTATAAATATGAATATATATTTACTATATAAGTCTATATATTTATATATATTAATATATAAATATATATATAATAAATATATATTATATATTATATATATAATAATATATAATATTTATTATATGTATTTATTATATATATATTTATATATTATTTATAATATATATATAATATAAATATATATTAATATATATTTATATATATAATAATATATAAATATATGAATCTATATCCTGTGTTACAGACAAACCGTCCGGCGCCATCTTGTGGAAAGTTTCCGCTTCTTTCCGGATAAACACGAATCTGCTGATAAGAACCAACGACTCTAGAAATCTTTAAATGAACGTTTATATTAATAATTAGCGCAGTTTATAATGTTTAACAGCTTCTAAACAAAGACATAATAAATAATTATACGTTATAAGTTAATAATAATAATATATTTTATTATTCTGGCTGTGTTTGAATCAGCGGAAGTGAGCTCAGTTAGCGCAGTGTGACCGGTAACCGTCCGTTACTGTCGGTTACTGTCAGTTAGTGTCCGTTAGTGTCCGTTACTGTGTGACCGCGGACGGAAACAGACTGTTAGAAGTCGTTAATATCAGAATATCTGGACATTGAACGTAAGTTGTTCCCTTTGTTTAAAAGCTAACTAGCTAAGCTAACGTTAGCTAACCTTCCGGTCAGTTAGCCTGCTGCGGCTAATGTAGCTAATGTTAGCTAACGTTAGCTTTAGGCTAATAAACAGCTAACAGACAGCCGCTGTCTCTGTGTGGGTTTTACGGACAGTTAGTGTTAATAATACTAATATAAAGCGACCGGGGGACGGCTCAGGGTGTCAGTAACAGTTCGGGGAGGTTCGTGTCAATGTCAGCCGACTTTAAAGTAACAAAAACAGACTTATTGTCATCAAATGTCGCTGAACTCATCAAATACAACCGGCGCACAATACAAGATGGCGGCGGATCATTTCCGGTGGTCGCTGCTCAGCGCTGCTGCCTCTGGTGGCGGGAGTCTGCTGCCTCCGGTGGCGGGAGACTGCTGCCTCCGGTGGCGGGAGTCTGCTGCCTCCGGTGGCGGGAACCGGCAGCCTCCGGTGGCGGGAACCGGCAGCCTCCGGCAGCCTCCGGTCTCTGTGCATTAAGGTTGAGCGGGAACCTTTGCTGTGTTTACTTTGAATAAACTTTATGATAGTGCAGTATATTCTACTCAGAGTCATTCTGAGATAATTAATCAGTTTATTTAAATTAAATCTGCTTCATTGTTTAATTATTGTTTTGTTGTTGATCCTTTGGAAACAAGAATAGTAAAATAGAGCTGATAAAGAATTCACTTCCTGTCTGTGTGTTTCAGGAGGATGTTGAAGATGTTGGGGGTCAGGTGCATTGTGGGAACCCTGCCCCTGAGAGGTCTCCCTCGCCTCCAGAAGACGTTGGCGTCCTCAGAGAGGTTCCTTCCTCCCCGGCGGCTCCTGTCTCAGGACCAGAACCCGCCTGTGCGTTCGGCGCAGCTGAAGCTGAGGACCCGCCTGGCGGTGGCGCTGCTGTTCGGCGGCGGTCTGCTCGGCGTTTGGGGCTACGTGTACTCGGAGAAGCAGCAGAAGTTGCGGCAGCAGCGCGTGGAGCAGCTGAAGCAGGTGGCCGTGGGTCAGGGGAACTTCAGCCTCCTGGACCACAGGGGGCAGCGCAGGACCAAGCAGGACTTCCTGGGCAGCTGGTTGCTGTTGTACTTCGGCTTCACGCACTGTCCTGACATCTGTCCCGACGAGCTGGACAAGCTGAGCGCCGTGGTGGCGGCTCTGGACCAGGACGCCTCGCTGCCGCCGGTGCAGCCCGTCTTCATCACCGTGGACCCAGAGAGGGACGACGTGGCGGCGCTGGCCCGCTACGTCAAAGACTTCCACCCCCGTCTGATCGGACTGACGGGGACGGTGGAGGAGGTGAAGCTGGCGGGGCGGGACTACAGAGTGTACGCCAGCGCCGGACCCAAAGACGAGGACGGGGACTACATCGTGGATCACACCATCCTGGTCTACCTGATCACTCCAGACGGGCTGTTCCTGGATTACTACAACAGGATGAAGAACCAGGACCAGATCGCAGAGAGCGTCCGGAACCACATCAGGAACTACGTCAGACTCGACAGCTAAACTGGGAACTGGAAAGGTCCGTGTTACAACCATCCCCACACGCTTTGGTCCCGGGGACGAGGAGCAGCTCCTCCAGAGAATGAGTTATGACTTTTGTACAATCTCTGAATATAAAGAGACACGTTATATATAATATATATATATATATAATATATAATATAATATTATATATATAATATATATATTATATTTGTTTGTTTGTTTGTTTGTTTGTTTGTAATAAAATTTTGGGCAAAAGTCAAAACTGAAGAAAACAAAAAAAAGTTGTTTTGTTTGTGAACCAATTCATCCAGTTTTTATTAGAAATATTCATATTAAACATATTTATGATCAGAGACGAGCTGTTACACACAGACATGATGATGATGATGATGATGATGATGATGATGATGAAGATCTTTCAGGTTGAAGCAGTCAGAGTTTTGAATCTGTCCGTCGCTCTGAGAGTGCTGAGCAGAGTCAGTCCCATCGAGTCCACGCTCTCCTCCAGACCGTCCACGCTGTCCACCCCCACCGTGTAGTCGTTGGCCTACACACACACACACACACACACACACACACACACTTACTCACTTATCTTCTGTTAAAGTACCTATGACCTAACGTGCAGACGGCGTGACGGCGTGCAGACGGCGTGCAGACGGCGGTTTACCAGCTGCAGGGAGGCCAGCAGGTACTTGCAGGCCTCGAAGTTGTCCAGACCGGCGACGATGGAGGAGAACGCTCTGCGGTGGCCGACGGCGCTCAGCGATCCCACGATCCTGTCGCCATAATCGTGGATGTCAAACGCTGAACGCTCCTCCTGAAAAACACCACGGGGACAGGAAGTGACAAACAGGAAGCTGCTGGAACAAACAAACAAACAAACAAACAAACAAACAAACAGTAGTTTTACCTGCAGCACCAGTTCAGGTCGGATCTTGTCCTCCCAGTCTTTAACCCTCCGAGACAGAGCCGTCTCCTGAGTGTAACCCTGACTGTTCACCATCAGCTGCTCCTGAATGCCACACACACACACACACACACCACACACACACACACACACACACACACACAGTTAGTTCAGGTAGGTGTGTGTGTGTGTGTGTGTGTATTGATCACTTACGACACGCAGCTTCACCAGATCTTCATAACTCAGTTCGTCTCTCTGAGTTTCTGCAGACACAGAATATAAATATTGATGAGGACAACGAGCTGCTCCAGTTTCCTGATCCAACCATTGATTGATTGATTGATTGATTATCTATTATCTCCTGCAGCCTCTACAGTTGGACAGTTGCTATAACAGATATATGGTTGCTGTATTAATCCCCTCTGGAACAGAGTGCAGGTGTGTGTTTACCTGCTGATATGAAGTCTGCTCCTCCAACAAACTCAGCTGGAAGGTCGTCAGGAAACGCTTCGTGTTCGTTGTCTGAGTTGTCGTCGTCTCCACCTTTAAACATTATTTAACCTTCAGTCACCACAATGAATAAACAGAGTGATAAACCCAGAGTGAGAGAGTGAGAGAGTCTGTTACCCAGCAGGTCGGGGTGTCTGAATCCGTCCACAGGCTCCTCCCCCTGCTGCTGTGGCCCCGCCTCCTCCACCTGCAGGAAGGTCCGCCTCAGCTCCTCCTCAGAGACGACCACGCCCTGAGTGACATCACGATACGTCATCAATAGTAACACACACACGGACAATAACACACACACAGTAACACACACACACACACACACACACACAGTAACTAACACACACACACACACACACACACGGACATAACACACACACAGTAACACACACACACACACACACACACACACACACACACACGGACAATAACACACACACAGTAACACACACACACACACAGTAACTAACACACACACACACACACACACACACACACACACACACACACACACACACACAGAGTAACTAACACACACACACACACACACACACACACACACACACGGACAATAACACACACACAGTAACACACACACACAGTAACACACACACACACACACACACACACACAGTAACACACACACACACACACACACACACACACACAGAGTAACACACACACACACACACACACACACACACACACACACACACGGTGTCGTACCGCCCTCCTGTAGATCCTCTGTCGGGTCTTCAGTTTGTCTTTAATCGAGCTCAAATAAACGTAGTTCAGGTCTGAAAATTAATAAATAATTTTTAACTGCATTTAAATAACTGTAAATAATAATATAATAATAATAATAATTATTATTATTATTGATAATACAGGAACAAATCACAGTATTATGATACAGTGTCCAAAAGCATAAAGTATTAATCAAATTAAATGATACATTAAAATATAATATATATATTTATCATACTGCTAATAAAGTTTCCTGAAACTTGCTTTATATATATTCTAGATATTGATTATTTATTATTGATAGTAAAAGTGTTTGAAACAGATGTTACCTGTAAAAGTGGGTCCGTTCTTTAACTTGTGCTCTGGACGATCGACTGCAACAGGAAGAGAGAGAGTCAGAATAAAACCTTCCTCTAACAAACACAAACCGGTGAGACGGGTCCTGGTCTTACAGGCTCCTCTGAACCAGCTCCTGAAGTCCTGCAGGGTAGCAGCTCGCTTCCTCTTCCTCTTCCCGCCGTCGTCCACACCTTCAGGAACCTTGTAGCATTTCCCTGCAGAGGAAACGATTGTGTCAGCGAAGACAGCGACGTAGTAATCTCTGAAACACCTGAGAGTCCCACAGCTCACCTGCTCTAAAGGGTCTGTCCTCCCCGAGGACGGCGTACGGGTCGTGGAGCGTCCACACGTTCACCTGAAACAGGAACAGGGAAACCAAACTGGGATTGAGATAAAGTAATAGTTTAAAAAATAGCTGTTGAGAATAAAGTCGTAATTCTCTGAAGAGTCTTAAGAGTTCAAGAAAGAAAAGGTTGAATAATAAAGAATAAATTATATTATTACAATAAACGTTTGAGAAGAAATAATAATGTAATGTTTTGAGATAAAGTTGTAATAAAGGAATAAAGTTGTGATTTCAGGACAAAAACTTGAGAATAAAGTTAACTTATGAGAAAAAGACTTCAGAGATCATTTCTAAAGTTATTAAACTATCTTCAGAATAAAGTTAATGAATAACAAACGTACGGCGGGCGCCGGCTCCTCCTTCCTCCTCTGATGGTCGTCTTCCACCGGCCGTCTCTCTCGGATCATCCTGCCTTCACCCGGAGCCTAACGAGCATTTAATTATCACGATTAGCACGATGTTAGCACAACTGTGAATAACACAGAGAAACTCTGTGATCCTAAAAGTGTTTCTGTTGAACTCAATCACAGTTTAAAGATGGTTCAAAAATAAAAGAGACACATATGTATGATCAATATTAGCTATTAGCTTGTGTTATCATCCCGCAGTACTAAAGAGACCTGGTGTCGGTCCACGTGCTCCTCTGGGTCCTGGTCCACGTGCTCCTCTGGGTCCTGGTCCACGTGCTCCTCTGGGTCCTGGTCCAGCTCCATGTTGTTGTCCTCTAAAGGAAGGAAGTTGTCTGCAGCGTCGCCTCCGTCATCTCTAACATCTGGAGCCACAGCAACATCTGGAGCCACAGCAACATCTGGACACAAACATCTGGAGCCACAGCAACATCTGGACAAAGAGAAAACATCAGTCGACCAAACTAGACTTCTGATTGTATTCAGGTTTGTGACTTCTGTTTATATTCTGTCAGTGAATGAAATTAAGTTCATATGGACTCTGTGTGGTGGACTCTCTGTGGTGGACTCTCTGTGGTGGACTCTCTGTGGTGGACTCTCTGTGGTGGACTCTCTGTGGTGGACTCTCTGTGGTGGACTCTGTGTTGTGGACTCTGTGTTGTGGACTCCGTGTGTTGGACTCTGTGTTGTGGACTCTGTGTTGTGGACTCTGTGTTGTGGACTCTGTGTGGTGGACTCTGTGTGGTGGACTCTGTGTTGTGGACTCTGTGTTGTGGACTCTGTGTTGTGGACTCTGTGTTGTGGACTCTGTGTTGCCCACTGTTGGCACTCGGGAGCATAAAGGTCACAACCTTTGACCCTCATCCTACATAGAGACACATAGAGATCAGTCCACAGACAGCAGAGGGACAAAGCTCCACTACAACCTGTTCACTGTCTGTTGGAGGAGTCGTACCTTGTTGCTGCTGCCAGTCTGCAGGATGTTCGTCCATCAGAAGTCTGGTCGCAGCCGATCGGAGCATGAGGAGGATCAGGTCTTCGTCTCCTGGGATGAAGATGTTGAACCTGAACTCTTTCAGACTGCACAGGATCTCACCTTTCAGACTGAGACACAAACAGGAGCTTAATGTCCGCAGACCACCTGAGAGCTTCACTGACACACACATCGGATCAGCTGTCAGGGTCATCGTCAGTGCAACAACCTCTGTGCTTATTAAATATTATTAATATTATAAATTCTGTTATTATCACCTGATGAGCGGCAGTTTGTTCTTCTCTGTGTTTTCAGGAGGAATCAGAGACTCAGGAGGAAGAGGGATCACACTGGCAGACTGAAACCAAACAGAGCACAGATCAGCTGACTGCACACTACTACTGACAGTCAGACAGGTAGAGAGTGAGACAGGTATAACAGACCGTGGTGGGGTCGGTGTTGTGAGAGTCCTCTGAGTCGTCGGCGGCGTCTACGGGAGAGAACTGAAGGAGACAAACATTGATTTCCTACATTACCCAGAATGCATTTGACAGCTGTGTGTGTGTGTTACTGGTTTAAATCAATATATGTTATTGGGATGCACAATAGTGATCAGGACAGATCAATAATCAGCTGATAGTGGGACAGTTGGTCTATGGCGGACAAAGATCTGTTGTTGTTGTTGTTGTTGTTGTTGTTGTAGTAAACAACAGCTTCTCACCACAGCGCCATCGTCCGCATCGTGTCCGCTCTCTGCTCCGTCTGCGTCGTCGTCCTGAGACGAAGACTGTTTGTTCCGTCTGTCAGAAACAAACACGAGACCAACGTCATCATCTGACCCCGACCCCGAGGACCTGACCCCTTGAGGACCTGACCCCCGCCCAAGGACCTGACCCCGAGGACCTGACCCCGAGGACCTGACCTTGAGGACCTGACCCCGAGGACCCGACCCCAAGGACCTGACCCCGAGGACCTGACCCTGACCGCCCCGAGGGACCGACCTGACCCCGACCCTGACCCCAAGGACCTGACCTTGAGAACCTGACCCCGACCCCGAGGACCTGACCTTGAGGACCTGACCCCGACCCCGACCCCAAGGACCTGACCTTGAGGACCTGACCCCGACCCCGAGGACCTGACCCCGAGGACCTGACCCCGAGGACCTGACCCCGACCCCGAGGACCTGACCCCGAGGACCTGACCTTGAGGACCTGACCCCGACCCCGAGGATCCTCTTACTTCTTATTCTTGTCGTTGATGTACTCCAGAGTTTGGTAAACCAGACTGTGCAGCAGCTCCACCTGAAACAGTCCACAGACGTTCAGTAACAGAACTTTAACCAGGTTCATAATAATAATAATAATAATAATAATAATAATAATAATTCAGAGCCTGAGACTCGGTGTATTCGGGACCTTCTTGCTGTAGATGCAGGCTGAGCCTTGGATCAACAGAGCTGCTTCGGCAAAGTTCAGTCTGGTTTTCCCTCCATCGAACGTGATGCACATCTCATCCAACTGCAAACAAACGCAGAAACCTTTGTGACATCCTGTAACGTCCTGCACAGATACACAATCTACCTGCAACTCTATAATCGGAGTTTTTACCTCCTCTAAATAGTCGTTTAACTCTGAAGCCACGTCGATGTCCCAGTTCTTGGTGAGCTCTCTGATTGGCTGCAGCAGGTGAGCGAATCTGCTCTCCGTCGACTCCATAACTCGACCACGACAATAAAACCACTGGAAACATCAGCACAGTAAAAGTACACAGAGATTATCAGCAGGGCTGCAACCATGAACTCACAATTCACTCCTTCATTTCTCAGACAAAAATCTACTATATATATAAATATACACAGAAATAAACACATTAAAATAAATATGTAGAATAAGAGTAAAGGTAAATAAATACAGAATTATTCATTTCTGTTACATTCATAAATGAATTAATGCATTTGTTGGCATATTTGTTTGTTTTATTTTGGTAGTTTCGGTCCTCCAACTGGCTGTAAACTGAATTTATTTGATACTATTATTAGGGTTTAATTGATTAATTAACTGGTGGACAGATGAATCAATAACTGTCAATACCATAGTTAACCAGGTTTGTAGTTATTATCTCTCACACACAATTAAACAGCGTTGAAAGTCTGTATTTCAGAGAGAAGTTACACCAAACTCCATTTAAAAATGTGACGTTTTAACGTTTTACTCCGGTTGTCTCTCTTAACGTCAGAGTCAGAGCGGGATTAACGTTTAAAGTTACAACAATGGCGGAAAACTGTGGAAAACATTCAGCCAACAGCAGATCGTCTAATCGATTCGTTCAATATCTATAAATGGAAGTTAGTCACAACCAGCAAGCAGCGACACAAATGACAGATTTATAAACGTAGTTCGGCCGCTGAACAACGACTGAATTCAATCGTTATACTTTAATATACTCTCACTAATGACTAATGACTAACTAGCTAACTACTAACTAACTAGTACTCGGTCTTATTTAACTTACGTCAACGAGAAGTTTTAAAGTTGTTTTAGGAGAAAATCTCACCGTAATGATGCTAACTGTTATGTAGCAGTTAGCATAACAGTTAAACAGCCCGCGCTAACTTTCTTCTTTGCTGGTCATTATTCTACTTCTTCTACGCTCACTGTCTCAGCAGCGTGAACGGCGCCACCTGCTGCACCGGAGGGCGAACCGCTATTATATATATATTATATATTATATATTATATATATAATATATTATATATTATATATTATATATTATATATTATATATAATATATACTTTATATTTATATTTATGTTATATTATATATACTTTATATCTATAAATATATATTATATATTATATATTATATATACTTTATATTATATTATATATCTTTTATTATATACTTAATATATAATATATACTTTATATTTTATGTTATATATATTATATATTATATATTATATTATATAACATAAATATAAAGTATAATATATAATATAATATATAATATATACTTTATATTTATGTTATATTATATATACTTTATATCTATAAATATATATTATATATTATATATACTTTATATTATATAATATAATATATAATATATACTTTATATTTATATTTATGTTATATTATATATTATATAATATAATTATATTTATGTTATGTTATGATATATACTTTATATCAATAAATATATATTATATACAAATATACACTTTATATCTATAAATATATATTATATACTTTATATCTATACCTATATTATATACTGGAGGGTATAATAAAGATTATATATATATTTATATATAAAGTAATGGAGGGTATAACCGTCATTACTTTATATATAAATATATATATAACCGTAGATATATAAATATATTAGATATTAGAGTTTCCTGAAGAAAAAATAGATATATGAAATAAAATAAATGAAATAGACATTATATTTCAGTAAAAGTCCAACAACCAGATTGTATTAATTTAAGATCATATTGTTTATAACTTTACTAAAGATAGAATATTATTTATCTCTGTTTATTGTTCAGTTCTGCACATTGAATGAACTAATAAACACTTCTGTAAGATTTATAAAGGGGATAAATTAAAGATACAGAGGTACCATGGGGGGGGGTACTCTCTAACCCCACCTGTGTGTGTGTGTGTGTGTGTGTGTGTGTGTGTGTGTGAGAGAGAGAGTGTGTGTGTGTGTCTGTGTGTGTGTGTGTCTGTGTGTGTGTGTGTGTGTGTGTGTGTGTGTGTGTGTGTGTGTGTGTGTGTGTGTGTGTGTCTGTGTGTGTGTGTGTGTGTTACTGTGTGTGTGTGTGTGTGTGTGTGTGTGTGTGTGTGTGAGAGAGAGAGAGAGAGAGAGTGTCTGTGTGTGTGTGTGTGTGTGTGTGTGTGTGTGTGTCTGTCTGTGTGTGTGTGTGTGTGTGTGTGTGTGTGTGTGTGTGTGTGTGTGTGAGAGAGAGAGAGAGAGTGTGTGTGTGTGTGTGTGTGTGTGTGTGTGTCGGTCCACCTTAAATCGCTCCTCGCTGCACCACGTGACCGTATTCCTGGAAAGTTCCTGGAAATGCTTCTTTTGTGTTTATGGTGATATCGGTGATTAGGCAGCTCGGTGGACTCGGTGTGTCCACAGCACGGCGACCGACGGACGGACACCGTGTTCGGGACACACTCGGGGCTTTTCTCGCTCTCTGGAACTCGGATATAAATCGGTGTTTTTTTGACTGGAGTTCGGCTACAGCTGAAGCTTCTTTACTCGACGGCTGCAGGTCCGTGTGTCCCCGCACCGACCCGCCATTAGTGAGAGAAAGGAGGAGAAGTGGAGATAAAATAAACGAGGAGGATTTCTGCTGTAAATGTTGTTCATGGAAGGTCAACTGACATCGCTGAGGGGTTTGGCTAGCTAGCAGCTAGCTCTGACACCGAACCTCAGGTACGTTCGCTTGTCACCTCACGCCAAACTCCATTCATTATTCTGCCAATTTAAGGCCACTTTGGTGTGTGATTGTGCTGTAATATAAGATTATGTTGTGTTCTTTTTATGCCCGTTCAGTCTACATTTCCGCAAACCAAACACAATTAATTTAATGATATTTACTTTAAAATAAAAGATCCATAAATGATCTGGCTATAAGTGGAGACATCCATCAGTTTACACCAAATTCTATTCAAACATTTAGTAATTTAACGTCCCATCGGTTTTCTACTGATTTGAAAATAAAATTCAATTTCTTGTTTTCTTCACAGTTCACATTAAAATTCTGCACAAAGTATTTAGTATTTAGTATTTAGTGAGATATTAGTGGGTCGGATGGATGAGGAACTGCACAGTTGTTGTGGTCGCTGGTGGATCAATATGTCGGCTCACACAGCTCCAGATAATGGAGACACCTCATGTTTTATGATTTATATTATTAATAATAATTATATATTCTCCTGTTCTTTATAATACATTATATAAATATAAACATTGTTTAGTAACATTTAGTTTATTCTTCAGTTGAATTAAACCAAATTCTATTCAAAATTCTACTAATTTAAGGTTTATTAGTTTGTGTTTATTACAATGAATGTTCTGCAAACAGGAAGAAATGAGTTATTATTATTTATTTATTTATTAGATTAATAAAGGTAATGACAACAGTATTAATTAGTTTATAGTTAATATCAACGTTAGTCGGTTAATAATTTACATTATTTTGTGTCCAGTTGGAACAAATAAACTTTTAAATCAAAATGTTTACTATATTCAGACTTTTTGCTGATTATTGATTAATCGTCTTCATCAAATATCTCGTTTTGTCTGAAGATTCAGAGAAGAACAGGAGAAGGAGAGCTTTTACTCCATTCATTGATTGATTGATTGATTGTTTGATTGTTTGATTGACTGAAAAATGTCTCATTCAGTTGTTGGTGAATTTCAGATCTTCTGTTCTGTGTTTTTAAATTAATACGTTTCTGAATGAGTTTCCCTCCTGTAGCTAACGTTGTTGTGTTCAACAGAGACCGGCACCGAGACCGGCACCGAGACCGGTCTTCCTCCCCTCTGGTCGGGCCTGCAGAACCCGTCCCATGTCTGAGCTGTGGGCCTAGTTCTAGGCTGAAGGTTGGACCGGTCCAATGACCTGCCAGTCCTCCGACAGCATCGAGAGCGACAGACGAGCCGAGAACAACTCCAGAGCTGTGGAATCGGACGAGAGCCGCATCGCCTTAGCCATGAAAGACCTGAAGAACACAGGTGAGTCCCGCAGAGCCCGGACCGGCAGGTACAGGCCTCGTTTCCATGGATACAAACACATCAGTGCAAACAGACAAATGACTGTAAGACTGAACTGATCAATAGCATCAATAGTATCAATAATCAGCTATGGGGACAGTTAGCAGCATTAGCATTAGCAGTGATATATTAGAGTATTATTGATTTCAGATCAATAAATATAAATTGACTCTCCGTCTCCTCTTGGGGTGGATAATAAGATTCAAACAGTTAACATTAATAAAAGCTCCTGATAGAGAAACTCTGGTTCTGGTTCTGACGTGATATTTAATATGATTAGATATTGATTATTATTATGGTCTGTTCTCAGGCTGGTACTGGGGCAGTCTGACTGCTAACGAGGCTAAAGAGATCCTCCAGGACGCCTCCGAGGGGACGTTCCTGGTTCGGGACAGCTCCCAGAGAGATTACCTGTTCACCATCTCGGCGATGACGTCGGCGGGTCCGACCAACCTGCGCATCGAGTACAAACACGGGAAGTTCAAGCTGGACTCGGTGGTTCTGGTGAAGCCCAAACTGAAGCAGTTCGACAGCGTGGTTCACCTGGTGGAGCACTACGTCCAGCTGTCCCGGACCGGCGACAAGGCACCGGCGAACTCTCGGCCCTCGGCGGCGCCGCCCAACGGTACGGTGCAGCTGCTGCTCACCAAACCGGTGTACACCGCCACACCGCCACTGCAGCACCTCTGCCGGGTCGCCATCAACCGGACGACGCGGCGGGTTCAGGACCTGCCGCTGCCCAACAGACTGAAGGACTACCTGATGGACTACGCCTACAACGTGTAGAGCAGGACGCCACTGACCAATCCCAGCATGCTTTGCTCCTGTGACAGGAGGGACGCGCAATAATCAGTGAGGAAGAAACTGCAGGAGGAGGAGGAGGAGGAAGAGGAAGAAGAGGGACTCCTCTGTGAACTGCAGTAACACTGCAGTATTGGCACTGTTTGTACCCTGTGGGTCAGATTTTGGCAGTGTTGGTCCTCCGTATAAACCCGATCAGTTGAAGGTGAATTAACGGTCGTAAACTCGCAGCTACGCAACAGAAACAATATTTACAAACAAACAGCTGTTATCAGTTTATTTATTTAAAAAATGTGGATCAATAACAGTCACTCACATAAACCTGTTTCCATTAATAAGGTGATTAATTACTGATTATTGATCAGTTGATATAAAATATGAACTTTAATTAAACTTCTGTTTCAGTTAACGAAGAGAAACTCAGTAAAAACTGACATCAACATTTCCTGCTGTCACAGTTGAGTCACAGGAAACCGAGGCCTCTGATTGGCTGCTGGACGACTGTGAGAGGCTCGACCCTCGGTGGCGGCGGCGTCGAGGGTTTCCTGATCGATGGAAACAAACAGACGTGTTGTTTTCATGTGAACTAATGAGTTGGACTTTGCCCCCCCTTGCTGGATGTAGTACTGCAGCTCTGGACCTGGTGATCCTGCTCTGAGGTTCAACGAGGACGCGGCCCAGATAAAGTCCACATCAGTCTGATCTCCGGTCCGGTTTCACTGGTTTCTGATCACAAAGCGAAATCGGCTCCGATCCATTCATAACGTTACGATAAAATCCGTCGAGAAAGTTACGATGTTTTAAAATTAAGATTCTTACGTTTAAATTTGGTCCGATAACAGAATCAGAAATTCCTCCAACACGTCCTTAAAAACCTTCTGTTTCCCAGGATGGTGAAGTCGTGTCCACGTACAAACATACAGACAGCCGTATGGAAGATGATTAGTGCCATATACTAAAAATTTACTTGAGTTCTGGGTTAAAAAAAAGTCGTCTTCCATCGATCAATATCAGCCAACAGACAAAGTCCAGGCATCAGAATCAGTATTGAGAAGTCATCTAATCACAAATCATTGAGCCATTCGTCATCAAACGTCAAAAGTCGCAAATATTTTTAATGAATTATACAAAAAAAATCTAAACTATTTTGACATTTTTCACTTTCTTCTGCAATTTAATTATAAAAAAAATCTCTAAAAACATCTCGACAAGTAAATCCCAAAAGCTGCTCTCTGAGTAGAAGATGAAATAAATCATTTTATTACCATTCAAGTTATCAGAAGTCTGAACAGGAAGTTCTCCATGAACCTTTTGTTATATTTTATCTTTAGCAAACAGCTTCTGTGATTTAGAGTTTGATATTATTTGGATTCATCGTGCAGTTTGGATCAATAATCTGGATCAATAATCTGAGTCCAACTTGTTCTTTTTCAGAATAAATATGTTTTCTAATATAATTTTATAATATTTTCCTGCTGGGTTTGAACAGATGTTTGATTTGAGTCGCAGTAACTCAAGTATTGATTATAAATTAAATTAATTAAAGTTATTCTCTTATGCGGCTTTAAAGGGAACTTAAATAAAATGAGTCGATGTAACAAACTGGAATCAAACACATTAAAGTTCAGACTGATTTTGTCTTTAGGGTTCATTAATGTAACGATAACGAGGATTCTTCGTGGACGCGTTGCTGCGAGTTTCAGCTCGACCTCCGTTCTCTTCCGGGTTTTAAGGCGGTCCAGGTCCAGGATGTGGTCACTCAGGTAAACAGGATTCGGCTGCCGGCGCTGGTGTAAATATCTAATGTTCCTCTTTGTATCTTTATTTTTATATGAGGGGTTAATCACTGAAGGGAAGGGTCGCTTGTTTTATCTCCAGCTACGATTTCATGGTGATAAAGTTCATCTACCATCAGACCTTTATTACTATAACACAATGAGCAGGACCACACATCTTTGTACATATCACACCTGCTGGACCCGGCTGGACCCTGCTGGACCCGGCTGGCTCTCAGCTTGGTTTTGATTATTAAAGATATTTATTGATTGTGTCTCACTGTGTGTTCTGGTACATTTTTTGTAAACGAGCTGCGGACTGAAAGCGTTCTGCTGACGGGAAGCTCTGTGGCGGTTCTGTAACGTTGATCGGCTCCGACCACGAGGTGAATAAAAGTTTTATATGGTGCTTCATCACAGAGGTGTTGTTGTCATTAATGTCCATATTTATTTGATTTACTTACAGACGTTTATATATTAATAAAAACATCTGACATCCTATAAAGTATGACAACGGTAAGTTAATAGTTTATGTTGTATTATAAAACTTCATCGTAAAAAAGAATTCATTTTCATAACAATCTGTTTCAGTGTATGGAAGACCAAAACTGCAAAAAATAAAATATGCTTTTAAATGCATTAATTCCCCTATTTAACTCTCCTATTTAATTTATCATTTTATCTATTCATTTCTTATTTCCCAAAATGTACTTGTCACATTTTAAAATTAAATAACGCCTATATTTATCTTTCAGTATTATTTTTAATGCATTTAAAGACATTTATGTATTTATGTATCAGGTCAAATATATCGATATAGTATTGTGGTGCTTGATGTATTAAACGTGTGTTGAATAGAAAATGAGTCCCTGATGAAGACTGATGAAGACTGCCCATTCAACCGAACTCCATTGAATAATCTACCGGTTTTAGGATTTCTCTTTATTAATTAACTATAAACACTTGATAGAACATAAAATCGGAGCCAGCTGGAGAATTTAAATTATTCTAGTAAATCCGGGAAGTATCTGATCGACTGAGAAAAACTTTTTAGATACAAAAACTCTAATTTTAGCATTAGCTTACAGTGTTCGCTAGCTAGCGACTACCGCTTTAGAAAGAGGAACTCGGCGCGAAACGTTGATATTTTATGTAAATTAGTGACACCTGGTGTATAACATGTCTGCCGAATTGAAGAGTGGTTCATAATAATTCACTAAATTAAACTGGTTGAATAATTGTACTTATTAGAAGATTTGTAGACGTGACAAACTGAGTGTTTACCGTTAGCAAAACATTGGTTCCGCTGGTGTTTCCAGTCGGACACAATAACATTGAGCAGACAGCCCGGACCGGTAGCGATAGAGGACTAGTCTTCATGATGCAGGGTGAAGTTAGTTAATTAAGAGACAATTAGAGACAATTAGCGGCTCTCAGCTCCAACATGGAGCCGGCTCACAGAGCTCTGCTGCGGACGCACCGGCTGCAACTGTCCGGGCAGCTACTGGTCAGTGAAACTATCGTTCCGTTCTTGTACCAGGAGGACATTTTAACAGAGGCACAAGTGGAGGACATCGAGTCCCAGCGGACAGACAGACTGAAGACTCTCAGGCTGCTGGACCTCCTGCCGAACCGCGGACCCCGGGCCTTCCACTCCTTCCTGCGGTCTCTGGAGGACTTCAGCTGGGTCCGAGACAGACTGCTGCTGGACCTCCAGAACGCACCTGGACCCGGACCAGGACCCGGACCCACAGGTGAGACACAGACACACCTGGACCCGGACCCACAGGTGAGACACAGACAGACACACCTGGACCCGGACCCACAGGTGAGACACAGACACACCTGGACCCGGACCAGGACCCGGACCCACAGGTGAGACACAGACACACCTGGACCCGGACCCACAGGTGAGACAGGCAGAACTCACCCTGTTTTTAATGTTTAATTAAAAATATATTTACTGAGTAAGAACAAAACCTTTTTTACTGTTAATGTCAGTAATTATTAACAATAATTATATAAATATATTAAACTTGAATTTAACAGTTTAATCTAATAAATAAACAGTAAATATCAGATTGTCTATAAAAGGAGGAAATGTTCTTTAAATAGTTTTATGTTTATTTACAGTTATAGATTTATTATTATTTTACATTTATGAATATTTGTATAAAAATACAGTAAAATCTGTAAACGTACAGATTGTTTTACAGTGAAGTGTGAGATTTAAATATAATTAAATATATAAATACATAAACACAACAATTAGCAGAATAGAAACATAAAGATAAAAACAAGGAAGTTTCAGAAACACTTGTTAATATAAAACTGGATTAAAATCTGCAATTAAAGTTAGTAAGTTTCTGAAACAGTGCAACAAAAGAACCAACATACATGAACTTGAACAATCACAAGAACAATACAAAACAACATAATTCCTGACATAAGAAAAACAAATAAAACATAAGAAAAATATTCCACTTGCATAAACTAAACTAATACGAACATAGAAATAATTACATATGTCTACATGCACATGGTTCACATCGCCAGAATCACTCTCACAGTCTGCACCCTACAACTTATCAGACTCTTGTCCCACTCAAGAAATGGTTTATTGGTTACATGAAAATGCATCCACATAGCTTCTCCCATCAACTATCTCGTATGAGATTCATGTATGGATCCCATATTTTCAGAAATACCTCCTCCCTATTGTTCAGCCTGAGAATCAATTGTTCACAGCTGGCTGTTTTTAGTCATTTTCTCCCATTCATTAAATGGAATACTGTAAGACTGAACTGACTTCCAATGTCTGAGAACAATCCTACAACCCGTAGTAAGGACCAATCTACACCATAGAGTTTGCTGGAATGATAACCCTATTCCCTCTGGTATTATGCCCAAAATACATAGAGCGGGACTCTGTAATAAATCTGTCCTGAACACTTTGTTTATGAATAATATTATTTCCCATAAGTTTTGTGTCATTTCACATTCACACAGCAGTGTTCCCTTACTCCTCTCACATCTCCAGCACATCTCAGATTCACAAAGCTTTAGTCTTGCCATCTTACAAGGAGTCCAATAAACCCTATGTATGATTTTATATGTAATTAAATCATACGGTTATTTCCTTCCACTTCTCCGTAATTATCTCCTGTAAATCTGCCTCCCATGCTCTCTTGAGACCCTCAAGTTTCGGCGGATGAGATTCTTTTAAAAGACTATAATATTTAGATGCCCCACCTCTAGCCCCCTGATCTCCCTGCACTAGTTTTTGTAACTCTGTTTGAGGCAATAGGGGGAGTTTTCGTTGTGCAGACATTATAGAGCTTCTTAATTGCAAATATTTCCAAAAGTCTCGCTCAGGGATTCTATATTTAGTTACCAGTTGTGCAAAACCCATAAAGTTATCGCCCTCGAATACATCCCCAATAAAAATAATCCCTGCTTCAACCCATGACTTCCAGTAAAGAGTTTTTTTATCCACTTTCACTAGTTTGTTATGCCATAGAGATGACCTTCTAGTAAAAGAAGGGTTTAAGCCAATGAGACGAGGTGATACTTGCCAGGTTTCTCTTGCAAACAACAATAATGGATTCCTAGATGGAACTTCTCCCCCACTTTGTGAAATAAAAGCCTGTAATGGCATTGGATCAGTAAGTTCTTTTTCAATCAGGACCCAACCCGGAGCTTTGTCCTCTGCAATATATATTTTGGCGAGCTGATTAAGAGAAAAGGCATAGTGGTACCAGTCCACTTTTGGCAGGTTGAGGCCTCCGTCCTCCTTTGCAGCATACATTTTAATTCTGTTCAAACAAGGTCTTTTACCTCCCCACAAAAAGGCCGCTGCCGCTGCATTAAATCTAAAGTAGTGAGGGAGGGAAATTACATTTCAGATATTTTTATTTAAACCTTAAAATCCAGAGAATAATCGGGATCAGAGGCTCAGTGAGCAGATTGAGTCTGAGAGAACAAACTGTTTGATTCTGTAACAGAGTCCAGGTTTCCAGGAACTGTGTGTGTGTGTGTGTGTGTGTGTGTGTGTGTGTGTGTGTGTGTGTGTGTGTGTGTGTGTGTGTGTGTGTCCTCCTCCTCCTCCTCCTCCTCCTCCTCCTCCTCCTCCTGCTTTCCAGGAATGTTGGCAGCTTTAGTCTCTGAGATTTAAAGCTGCAGTCGGATGTTTGAACAATAAATTCCAGTGAAGAACAAAAGTCATTTGCAGTCGATTTGTCAGTCGAACGTCCTCATTATGAGATTAATGTCCGACTTTAATTCATATTAAATATTGTATTTTGAAATAAAAGTTAAACTCTTCTAATAAATTTTGACTTTTAAGATAAAAATTTTAGATAAACTTAAAATTCTGTCATTAAATTTCAAAATAAAATGAGATTAAAGTTAACATATGTTGTAGTTTTTACTACAAATATTTCATATTTTATACAATATGTATAACTAAATATAAATATAAATAACTGTATATTAGTGTCAGTCAGTAAACTGTGTCTAAATAAAGTTTTGGTTGTGTATAAATAAAGTTTGTGCGGGGGTCCAGGAGGACAGATTGCGTCATACGGAGGTTACCTTCGGCGACAGCGACTTCCTGTGTCACAGCGACCTGAAAGAAAAACACTGATTGTGAAATGTTGTTGACTTTAGAGGAAAATAGTTTATTTATTTTCTGGTGTTTTTGTTGATTCTGTCGTCCAATGAACAGACAGCAAACAGACACCCCGCCCCCCCCACTGATCGTAAACACTGAGAATTAAAGAGACAGCGCGCTCAACAACAACAACATCAGCAACAAACAGTCCTAGTTACAAGATCAATGTTGACGTTTCAATCAGAATTTTGACATAAAACTTTAAAAAGTCAGAAATTAAAGAATAAAACTGAAATCTGAACTTTGAGAAAACAAAGTTAATTTGTAATAAAAGTTTTTTTTAAAAGAGGAAACATTTTTAGTTTAAATGGAGAAATTATTGGATTTGAGAAGAGTGATAAAGTAATAAAGTAATGGACACATTCTTAGATCTGTAAATGTCCGTCTGTCTCCGTCTGCAGACGTCTGCTGTCTCCCGGATTCGGTTCTGTTGAGGGTCCCTTCGGACCGGGAGCTGTCCCGGCTGGCGTCTCGGCTGGGTCCGGAGTGGGAGTCAGTCCTGATGGATCTGGGTCTGTCTGCGGAGGCTCTGTTCCGATGCCGGTCCGATCATGCTCTCAGCACTCACGGGGCGGTTCTGGCCGGTCTGGTCCAGTGGAGGCGGTCTGAAGGGAAACGGGCCACAGTCCAGAGACTGATCCAGAGTCTGAAGGCCGCTGACGTCCATCCGTCCGTCCTGGAAGACGTCCTGCTGGTGGACTGACTCAGCTGCTGATAATCAATCACACAGGTCTCAGTCTGACCGTTTCCATTCAGACTGTCGGACAGGAGCCGGATCCTGGAGGGACTATCTATCTGTCTATCCATCTGTCCATCTCTGTTGAGCTCCTGAAAACATTTCATGAACTTATTTTTCATATTAAACTTTCTTCTGATTAAATACAGAAACAATAAAGAACAGATCAATAACCCATAAATCTATGAATATAAAATATAACACACACATATATATAAACATATATACACACACAACACACACACACACACACACACACTCTCTTAAGGTGGACTGACGAGATGTTTGATTCACCTGCAGGTGTTCAACCCTTAAAGATCAATAAGCTGATTGATATTATATTTAGGGACCGAGCCAGCGACCGCTGTAGGTCCCTATTGTATTTGCTATGGGTTAACCAATTCATAAGTACCACCATGAGCAAGCACTTATAACTAACTAACTAACTAATATAATGTTCATAATGTATGTATCTTTGATTTATAGTATTGTATTTGAATGCTTTGCTTTGGCAATATTTTTTTTTTTTTTTGAACTTTCATGGCAATAAATCCCATTTTCAATTTGAATTTGAGAGAGAGAGAGAGAGGCAGGCACAGCAACAACTACACTAATAGTAGTGACTGATGATGATGAACATGACAACAGCAACGATGGGGGACAATGAGCAGTGACAACAGCAACAACAGTAACTGTAGCAATAATAATACTTATAATAATAATAATAATAACACTAATATCAGTGATATTAGCAATGGCAGTCAAGCAGGACCATGGCAGGAGGCTCCACCAGGATCCATGAGAACCTGCGAGACGAGAAAGCACAAGAACTCCGGGGAAGAAGTGAAGTTAGTAACATGCATTAATGGAACATGAATGAGTGCAGAAAGAGAGAGGAAGAGAGGAGCTCAGTGCACCATGGGAAATCCCCCTGACAGTCTAGGCCTATAGCAGCATAACTAAGGGATGGTTCAGGACTCACCTGATCCAGCCCTAACTATAAGCTTTATCAAAGAGGAATGTCTTAAGCCTACTCTTGAATGTGGTGAGGGTGTCTGCCTCCCGAACCACAACTGGAAGCTGGTTCCACAGGAGAGGAGCTTGGTAACTGAAGGCTCTGGCTCCTGTTCTACTTTTAGAGACTATAGGAACCACAAGTAGCCCAGCATTCAGAGAACGTAGTGTTCTAGTGGGGTAATAGGGTACTATGAGCTCTTTAAGATATGAAGGGGCCTGACCATGAAGAGCTTTATAGGTGAGGAGGAGGATTTTAAATTCTGTTCTACATTTTACAGGGAGCCAATGCAGAGAAGCTAGTACAGGAGAGATGTGATCTCTTTTTCTAGTTCCTGTCAGTACTCGTGCTGCAGCGTTCTGAATTAATTGGAGCGTTTTAATGGACTTATTGGGGCAACCTGATAATAAAGAGTTGCAGTAATCCAGCCTTGAAGTAACAAATGCATGGATTAGTTTTTCTGCATCTGTCTGTGATAGTATGTGTCTAATTTTTCTAATATTACGTAAATGAAAGAAGGCAGTCCTAGAGGTCTGCTTTATGTGGGAGTTAAATGACAAATCCTGATCAAAGATAACTCCAAGATTCCTGACAGTGGTGCTAGAGGCCAAGTTAATGCCATCTAGAGTAACTATATCTTTAGACAGTGAGTCTCTAAGGTTTTTGGGGCCAAGAACAAGAATTTTGTCTTTTTCTGAGTTTAACATCAGAAAATTGCAGCTCATCCAGGATTTTATGTCCGTAAGACATGTTTGTAATTTAGATAATTGATTCATTTCATCGGGCTTGATCGATAGATATAACCTCGTATCATCTGCATAACAGTGGAAGTTAATGGAGTGATTCCTAATAATGTTGCCTAAAGGGAGCATATATAAAGTAAATAGTATTGGTCCAAGTACAGAACCTTGTGGAACTCCATGACTAACTGTAGTATTTATTGAAGATTCATCGTTAACGTGTACAAACTGCGAGCGATCTGATAAATATGACTTAAATCTGTAAAAATTTTCAGATATGATCCCATACCACTGCTCAGATATTGTTCCAATTTTAAGGCAATCACATGTTTATTCTTTTGTGAAAAAGTTAAATCAATATCCAATTCTTGCATTAACCAATAAGGAATAGGTAATCAAATTGTGTAGAGTGCCGTGTTTTCCTGCTCCATTCTCAATTTCCTTGTCCACTGATTTATACATTCAAAAAATTATTTACTTCTTATCTTTCTATAAGAATCCAGTGTCCCTTGCATAAGACACCTTGCTGGGAATGCTAAATTAGATCCACTCAATTTTACCCAATACTGCATTCCCAACTTAATGCGCCTTAAACATAAGGGCATTTCACCCATTTCAATGAGCAAAGCTGGAATTGGAGATGTCCTGAAAGCTCCACAACATAACCATAAACAAAGCACCCATAATCAATTGAAGATCTTATCATTGCCTGATATACTAAATGCATGGACCCCCTCTCCGCCCCCCAGTCACAACCCACCAGACTTCTCATTATATTTAACACCTTGTCACATTTTAACAAAATGTTCTTAACATGAACAGCCCAAGTCATTCGTTCTTCAAACCAGACCCCCCAAAATTTTAATTATTTTACTCTCTATAGGGGGGAACCAGACATACATAATCCAAAATCAGGTGCCTCTCTTGTATCCAAATATCATAAATTTAGACTTTGCTGCTGAAACTTTAAACCCCCATTTATCTGCCCAATCCTCCACATTACTTAAAGCCTCTTTTAATTTGTTTTAAAATAAACTCTGTATTTCTACCTCGTTTCCAAATAGCCCCATCATCTGCAAATAAAGTCTGCCCCATCCCTCTTCCAATATTACTAAATATTTCATTTATCATTATATTAAATAAGACTGGACTTTGACACTTCCTTGAGGGGTACCATTTTCTATTCTGACACATTTTGATCTACATCCACTCACTTGCACATGTATTGTTCTATTCATTAAAAAAAACTTTAATCCAATTAAACATTCTACCTCTAATTCCTAGATCAAATTTTTTTTATCATCAGTCCTTCCTTCCACAAACACTCATAAGCTTTCTCAGTATCTAAAAATACACTTACCACTATTTCTTTATTATTAAATGCCTTCTTGATATCTTGATCTAAAACCGCTACCGACTCCATTGTTGATCTTCCCTTCCTAAAACCATTTTGAAATTTAGTAAATAATCCTGTACTTTCTAAAAAGTAAACTTATCTATTTGTTATCATTCTTTCCATAATTTTGCAAAGCACTGATGTTAATGCTATAGGCCGATATGAGCTTGGATCACTTGCATTTTTGCCTTGTTTCAAGATAGGAATTATAACTGCATGTTTCCATTGTACTGGCAAACAACCCTCTTCCCACACAGTATTAATCAGAGCAAGAACTTCCTCAAGTGCTAACTCATCAAGATGTTTAAATAGTTCATATGATAAGCCATCTCTCCTAGGGGTAGTATCTGCACCAGAATCAATGGCATCTCTCAATTCTTTCTTGGAAAAAAACAAACTATTTGGATTCTCATTATCAAAATTCCTGTTCAGTTACCACTGATTACCTGACAACGGATTAGTCCTTTTCCCACTGCTCTCAATTCCTAAATTACCAGAGCTATGCACTGCTTGAAAAACCTCAACAAGCATGTCTGCTTTGTTTCTGTTGGTTATTGCTTCCACCCCACCTTTCTGTAAAACTGGTATTGGTTTCCTCTTATAAACCCCTGACATTTTATGTACTGCTGACCACAAGTGTTTTACAGGAGTTTCAGGGCCCAGTGTTTCACAAAATCTTCTCCAACTATTCATCTTTGTATTTTTATTTTATCTTATCTTCTTGCTACTGCCCTTAATCTCTTATATTTTAGTGCAAAACCCACCAAAAATGGAACATCATTGAGTCTGGAGGCCCTTATATCATAGCCATGTGCCAATTAGGATCAGGTGGCCTGATTGAGGGAAATCAGCTGCTGGAGATTAGTTCTCACCTCCCCTCATTAGGTTTCTCTCTTTATATAGTACCCAGCCTGCTTTCAGTCTTATCACTCCTCTGAAGAAGCCACAGTTTGGCGAAACGTCAGGAGCTCTTCTACTTTATATTTGTTTGTGAATTTTAATTATGACATTTTAAGGACAAGTAGTCCTATGTTTTTAGAATTATTTGATCCTTTTTGTGGGAGAGAAAACTTGACACAAAAGACAAAACACTACACTACAGCACTTTTTTGCCGAAAGGCGACAGAGAACCAAAAACTTTGATGTGAATCTTGCTGTGTGGTATATGCGAACTACAATATAGTAGCCCCCAGCATCAGCTGGGCTAGCATATAACCTAGAGTGGATTTGCCGTGATGTGTGAAGGGTGTAGTGACCTTTGGGATCTAGAATCTCCACTGTTTTAGTATGGTTTCTCTTCTTGAAAGTGTATGTAAAACTGGCATTATGTCCAGAATAAAATGTTAATTGTCACATAGAAAAAACATTAACATTGATTGTCCTTTACTAATATAGGACTGGTGTTGAATCTCTCCTTTCTGAAAATACAAGGATTTATTAGAAAAAAATCACAAAAAATTTGTGGATTTGATTTCTTATTTTTCATTGATTAAAACAACACAGTGTACACTTTTGTATGTTGATCCATCCAGGGGATGCCATGCAATATTTAAAAAAAAAAAAAAAAGCTTTGTCAAGCCCTCCTTTCCCAGCGAGGGAACCCGTGAAAGAGTGAAGTTGAACACTGAACAGTGGATGCAAACCAATATGCTAATTCTAAAAAATCAGTATGATTAAGTCATAGCAATTGGAACAGAAAATCTACCTACTTTTAACCAAGTTGCCCCACGCCCAAGCCCTCATCGCTGGAAGCCGAGGGAGACCACTGTAAGTCGTCATGCGTTTCAGACACCGTGCAAAAGGCGTTCATAGCGAGACTCTTCACATTAAACCTTGGAAATTCAGCGCCACGCCACAGACACGCCGTTTGACGCACAGTAAATGGTTGATTTACTTTTGATAACCAATGTGTCTAGATTGCAGTGATCGAATTTGAACTCAATCCGATAATATCTGTAGGAGGAGTTAGTTAAAACAGAAGCCCTGAAATGCCAGAAATGGCATCACAGTTTGACATTTGATTCAAAATGGCCTTCAATGTACAGTCACAAATAGCACAACTTTTAATCGCCACCATTTTTTGACTGTACTGACCAATTTTGAAGTAGACTCGATAAATTCCCTAGGAGGAGTTCATTTAAATACAAGGTGAAAAATTCACCGAAAAATGAGCACGGAATTCAAAATGGCCAACTTTGACAGAAAGCCACACTGCACATGCAGTTAATGCTCATCTGTTATTACCTTTATTTTTTTACCTGTGAGTTAGTTTTAGATGTTGAGAAACACTTTCTACAAAGAATATGTCAGTATCAGTGAGTCAGGACCAGAGAGAGTAAATGAAAAGAATACGTTTATTTATCACACACACAACTAAAAGAGCAGAGACAGGAAACATGCCAGGGGCGAAACCTTGTGCACTACCAGGATCCGAGCCAGGATGTTCTAAAGAGTTCGGTCTAGACCTGCTCTTTTTGAAAAGTGTCCTGAGATAACTTCTGTTATGAATTGGCGCTATACAAATAAAATTGAATTGAATCTGGAACAGTTTAAATACATAGGAAGAGCTGATCAATAACCATAATAAATAGCTACATAAATGTTATATTAGTTTATGTCTATTTGATGTTGTAATACCTACAACCAAAACACCACCTACCAGATGATGGAGCCTGGTCCTCCTGGTCTTGGGTCGTCCCTCCCTGATGGTCTGACAATCAGACCAGGAACACGTTAACACAGAAACTACCACAGTTCTATATGGAGATGTTAAACATTAGAGCGAGAGAGAGAGACTGACGCTGCGTTTCATTAGTCGTTCAACATGCCCTCATTCACTTGCCCTCGGGGGAATCCCCGCCGGCAGAGGGCTGAGGGAGCCAGTGAACAACGATGGTCACTCTGAGGTGGATATCACCCACAATGCATTGCAGTTTACGTCATTGCCACTATAACGCCGACGGCTGCCAATGAGTAGGCCTATTTGAAACAGATGTTTGTGGTTGAAAAAAACAAATGAAGAAAACATGTCGGACCAAACAATTTACAAGTGTAAGTAACAATATCTTGATATTCTGAGTAATGTCGAAATTACATTTTTGTCATGCTATGGAATTTGCTTTATGCAATATACTTTAGTAGAATGTTATAATTCTCTATTACTTGCATTCAGAACTACCTATGTAACTGAATTGTTTTGCACAAAATTTCACATTATAACATTGTTAGTGGGTGACACAATAGTGATTGCTTATGTGATTATGGTATTAAAGGGTCAGAAGAAGAGACCAAGCTCCTCATTAGGCTGAGGAGCTCCAATGATGCCCTCTTTACGGGGAAGAGAAATGCCTCCAAACTGGCCTGGGAGTGAGTTTGATTTGTTTTAACTTGAAGCATAATTGAATCACCTTGTAGTATACAGTGGGTACGGAAAGTATTCAGACCCCTTTACATTTTTCACTCTTTGTTTCATTGCAGCCATTTGCTAAAATCAAAAAAGTTCATTTTATTTCTCATTAATGTACACTCAGCACCCCATCTTGACAGAAAAAAACAGAAATGTAGAAATCTTTGCAAATTTATTAAAAAAGAAAAACTGAAATATCCCATGGTCATAAGTATTCAGACCCTTTGCTCAGTATTGAGTAGAAGCACCCTTTGAGCTACTACAGCCATGAGTCTTCTTGGGAATGATGCAACAAGTTTTTCACACCTGGATTTGGGGATCCTCTGCCATTCTTCCTTGCAGATCCTCTCCAGTTCTGTCAGGTTGGATGGTGAACGTTGGTGGACAGCCATTTTCAGATCTCTCCAGAGATGCTCAATTGGGTTTAGGTCAGGGCTCTGGCTGGGCCAGTCCATCCCGCAGCCTCCGCTCATCCGATGCAAACTTCCTGACTCCACCACCCAGGACCAAGCACCGAACCTGGGGCGACAGAGCCTTCTCTGTAGCTGCCCCCTCCCTCTGGAACTCTCTCCCCAAACACATCCGTGACTGCACCGACCTTCCAGCGTTCAAATCATTGTCACAAACTCACCTTTTTAAAATTGCTTTTAATATTTAGCTTAACCCTTTAGGCGTCAGGTTTTATTTTTAAAAATAAAAGATTTTGACATCTAAATTGTGACGGGTAGTGTTTAGGTTGGACCCAGGAGCAGACACACAGACAAGATGGACGGTGTAGATGGGGCTTTATTTCACACACACGCACACTGGGGGGGATGAGGGGCGGCCTCAGCAGGAGCGGGCCGGAGAGTCAGCAGGCAGACCGGAGACACTGGAGAGCTGACTCTGGGACCCGAACTGCACGGGTGGACTGGAGAACTGGCAGGGGGTACGAAGATCCGGAGGCACTGGAGAGCTGACCCTGGAACCTTGTCTACACGGGAAGGATCCCTGGAACTCTGAAGAGGTCGGATTCCGGAAACTCTGGAGATGTTGGACCCCTGAGACTCCGGAGAGATAGGATCTCTGAACACACTGAAGAGGTGGAATCCCTGGAACTCTGGAGATACAGGGATCAGACAGGAGGGCAGGAACAGGGAGAAACACTAAGGAGCCAGCTACTCACTGAGTGGAGCCAAGAGTGTACCACCAAGTCTGCTGAACAAACAATCTGGCACCAAACAAAAGGACACCAGGGTACTTGAGGGCTGAGACTAACGAGGTGATAGGGAGCAGGTGAGGCAGAGCACAGGTGAGGTGATTGAAGACCACACACACAGGGAAGGAGGAGGAGCAAAGGGAGCAGGAGAGGAGCAGGGCCATGACATAAATTTCAGAAGGCTCTGGCTTGAAAGTGGTTTGAAATAGAAACAAAGTGTAAATGAGACAAATATTGAGAATGACCTAAAGTTTATCTAGGGAGTACATTTTCCTATCTAATTTGCATATTATGACGTCATATGGCGGCGGCCATATTGGATTATGTAATTTCCATGAAACACCTGATATTTTGAAAGAGAGTTGAACTTATTTAACCAGATTCACCCCCCTCCATCCATTTGTTATGTTGTCCACATATCAAATGAACAGGGAAAAAGTAAATTGTAAGCCAGCAGTCGTAGACTAGAACTATTACCACACCACAAAACTCATGTAAACAGTAGGCGTTTTTTGATTTTGATTTTTTTTTTACCCACCACCACCAGGACACTTTTTCTTTTCCTTTTCTTTTTTTTTTTTTTTCTTCTCTTCTTCATTATTATTATTATTATTATTATTATTATTATTATTATTATAATAATAATAATAATAATAATAACAGTAGGGGTCTTTTAGCTGCAGAGGCCTAATCTGTGCCCATCTATCCAGATAAAAGTTTGTAGTATTTGTAGAGTGTGGAACCTCTCATTGCAAGGCCCAGTACAGAGACAATATGAACGATATTGAGACCCCCCCATAGCCTAACAAGTGGACAGGCACACTGCTGCGTCACATGGGTGCACCACTGCCGCGCATGGATGCACCGTGACCGGCGCGGTAGAAAGAGTGAACACTGACGCTGGTCCCAGCACTATTCTCACCACCCCCGCTACTTCTACCACATCCATTAGCTTTCCTACTGATACTACGAGTTCGTGTAGTACTCCCACCTATGTTGGGCAAAGGGTCGTGTGTTTGTGCTTGTGTGTTTTCCTCGCTTTGCCCGGCAGCGCCATTGCTATGCAAAGATGCACTGTGACTAGCACACTCACTAATCGACTGACAGTCATCTCCCAAAGGTAGATTTTCCCCTTCAGAATCAGGATCAGCGAATAGGAGACCCATCACTTTCCTACTCGTCAATTTTTTGCTTGCCATTTTTGTTTATTTCGTCTCTGTAACTCCTAAATCCAGCAATACCGCTTCAGCATAAATAGCTTCGTGGCACACTATTTCTGGCTTCTCACCCAACAGTTTGGACGGGATTTCCTCGAACATTTTGCATTGAAGCATGACGCATTTCTGAGCTAAGGTCTAAGTATGGGATGTCTGCCAACAGTATGAACGGGCAGTATGAACGAGATATAACACTCTATTCTGAGAAAACTGCTGTTTGATTCAATACCGCGTTGTGTCGCAATTTTGCGACTTTGGCACTTAAAGCGTTAATCCGATGTGTTTTTAGTGTTTTTACTATTTGATGTTGTTTTGGCTGCTTTTGTGTTGTTTTTATGTAAAGTGTCTTTGAGTATCCAGCACGCTAACAAATAATTTTTTTTATTATAAACTACTTTTTGGTGTTCCTCCTATACGCTTTGTCCCATTCGCACAAAATCTTTCACGTAGTATCTGGGGACCGTCCTGGCAAAAAAGTAAATTCAAGAAATTTCATATTTCAAAAAATAAGCACGCTATAAAATTAGTACTTCCTGTAGATTTCTCAGCAAAACAGGAAGTGGGGCATTTCTCCACATTGGTATGTCCGATTGACAACAATCTTGGGTCCATAGTTCCACATGTCTTCCTCAGATATCGTGCACAATTTCAGGCCGCGGAAGTTTATATCTCCACATTGGCACGTGTGATTAAATAGAAACTTTGTAGGATGATTCCCCATGGCTCCCTGAGATGCGCTAAAAAATGTGTTTACAATCCGCCACTAGGTGGTGCTCTGGTGGCAGGGTAAATCACTGTTCGGACACCGTAATAGTTATGAATATAAAATTCACAGGGCACGTGTAGACTGGTGCCTTTAGCTCACATACCAAAAATCGTGTTTGTTGTATTTGTAGCGGCCCCTACAGTAATTAAAAAGTGACTGTACGTTGAATGGCCACCGTGGTGTGCCGTCAAAGTTGGCACTTTGATTTCACTTTTGGGTTTTTTTTTTTTTAAAAAACACCAAAAAAAATATAAAAAACAGATAGAAAATGTTGCTGTTAAAAGTGCTTTGTGCATGTACATTAAAGGGCGTGTGATGGTGTAGCATCAAAGTCAGTCATTTACTTTTTTTTTTTTTTTTTTTTTTTTTTTTTTTTTTTAAAAAAAACCTAACCAAAAAATATTAAAAATTTTAAAAAAATTAAAAAAAAAAAAAAAAAAAATTTATTATTAAAATTATTATTTTTTTTGTTTTTATATTAAAAAAAGGGGGGGGGGGGTGTTAAAATTTTTAAGGTTGTTAAATATAATCAAACTGTGATGCTATTTCCGGCATTTCATATTCACAATAATTTTAAGTTACAGATAAATTCCTGATCAAACCTTTTACTGGGTTTGTTTTTAAAGTATAAATTAAAGTTAAAATGAATAAAGATAATTGATCAGGGACATTTTAACGAGTTGGTTTTACAGCATATGATGGGCCGAACTGAACCTAATGGGGGGCCACAGTTGTCCTAAAGTAATAACTGATCATTAACTGATCATATATTAATATATATATATATATATATATATAAATATTTTTACAATGAATGAATTATTAATTGTTGAATTTTAAGATGTTTGAACTTCCTGCTGCTTTAAAGGTGAAAGTTAATCCATCAATAATTTATAATCATTCAGACACTGAAGATGTCCCTTTATTGATCCCGTAGGAGATAAACAATAATCAATAACAGCAGACTGAAGGTTGAGAGCGTGACTGGAAGCAGCAGCGAGGTCCTCTCATGTGAGTTTCTGAGAAATCTTTATATCGTCGCTGCTTCCAGGAAGTTTCAGTTTAAAATCTGCAGACGATTTATTGTTGGAAGCAAACTATATTGATCAGATTATTGATCAGATTATTGATCAGCAGAGAGTGAACAGGTTGTAGTGTAGCTTTGTCCCTCTGCTGCCTGTGGACTGATCTCTATGTGTCTCTATGTAGGATGAGGGTCAAAGGTTGTGACCTTTATGCTCCCGAGTGCCAACAGTGGGCAACACAGAGTCCAACACAGAGTCCACAACACAGAGTCCACAACACAGAGTCCAACACAGAGTCCACAACACAGAGTCCAACACAGAGTCCACAACACAGAGTCCAACACAGAGTCCACAACACAGAGTCCAACACAGAGTCCAACACAGAGTCCAACACAGAGTCCACAACACAGAGTCCACAACACAGAGTCCAACACAGAGTCCACAACACAGAGTCCACAACACAGAGTCCACAACACAGAGTCCAACACAGAGTCCACAACACAGAGTCCACAACACAGAGTCCACCACACAGAGTCCCCAGCAACACAGAGTCCACCACACAGAGTCCACCACACAGAGTCCACCACACAGAGTCCAACACAGAGTCCACCACACAGAGTCACAACACAGAGTCCAACACAGAGTCCAACACAGAGTCCACAACACAGAGTCCACAACACAGAGTCCAACACAGAGTCCACAACACAGAGTCCACAACACAGAGTCCAACACAGAGTCCAACACAGAGTCACAACACAGAGTCCAACACAGAGTCCACAACACAGAGTCCAACACAGAGTCCAACACAGAGTCCAACACAGAGTCCACAACACAGAGTCCAACACACAGAGTCCACAACACAGAGTCCAACACACAGAGTCCACCACACAGAGTCACAACACAGAGTCCACAACACAGAGTCCACCACACAGAGTCCACAACACAGAGTCCAACACAGAGTCCACAACACAGAGTCCACAACACAGAGTCCACAACACAGAGTCCAACACACAGAGTCCACAACACAGAGTCCAACACAGAGTCCACAACACAGAGTCCACAACACAGAGTCCACAACACAGAGTCCACAACACAGAGTCCACAACACAGAGTCCACAACACAGAGTCCACAACACAGAGTCCACAACACAGAGTCCACCACAGAGTCCAAAGTCAAAGCTAACATTAATGCTAAGCTGTGGAACATATTGTCTGATTGTGCTGTTAGCTGGATAACGTTAGCTTGCATGCTAACTAGGTAGCTAATGTAGCAAAATACTGTCAGCTAGCTTCATCCAGACTCCCACAGCTGATCTAACTAACCTTTGCTAACATAATGCTATCTATCTAAAAACAATCTAACTTATATATTCTGATGTTAGCCAACAATAAATGATGCTAACAGTACAAAGCTAACGATAGCTTCCTATTAGCCAAGAGTGATGTGAGGGAGGGGCATCCAGCTAGCTAACTGTAGCTAAGCTAACTGAGGTTGTCCGGCTGTATCTTGGCGTTGCATTGTGGGTCTGGCGTTGGTTGATGGCTGATTTGTAAACAGCGAGCTAGTTATTAGCATGGAGCTAACGGTCCAAATAAACTGTAGGAACATTGCAGACAGAAACGTTATTAAATATGATCGTCAGTTATTTTACAGCGTTCAGTGTTTGTTGGCCGACGCCCAGAATGCAGTTCACTGAACGGCCACTGGTGGCGCTGTTAGCTGCAGTTACATATAGAAGGTTTAATTAAAGACTGTAGAGATAATTAACAGACGTGTTGCTGCAGCCTTGTTACGGATGTTCAGTGTTTTTCTTTCTCTACAGATTGTTGTTGTTTTCATCCCAAGCCTCAGTTCCCAGAATGCCTATGACTTCCTGGTAAAATCTCTGCAGCAACAGTAGACTCTGTGTGTGTGTGTGTGTGTGTGTGTGTGTGTGTGTGGCTGATGAATGGAACAACAGACTACAGTAAACAAGGAAACATGAACACACACTGATCTGAGTTCAGTCCCTCTTAAAGTTTAAACTTTATGTTTAAAGAGTTTGATGCGTTACAGAAACAGATCGATGCTTTCTGATTGCTGGTTGTTCTGATGGAGTCTGGTGGACTCTACAGCGACCTCTACTGGCAGCGGGTGTGTATGACATTTAAAGACCAACGTGGGTATTTCACCCTCAGTCTTTCCTCTCAGGAATACCTGCAGACAGAACTCGGGGATGAATGAGCTGATTATCTACCCGGATAAATAAAGGAAAGTATTGATGAAGGTGGGTGCAGTATTGATGACGACGTCCTCTCAAAAACAAACTAACTTCATATAAAGAACTTCCTGTTGGCGGCTGCTGACATCATCGCCCGACCCACATGACCTCACACGAGTTTGTCTGGTAAACATGAATGTGTTTACTGCGACGTCATGTGACCCTGAACAACCACACACACACACACACACACACACACACACTCAGAACTTTACTACCAAAATAAAAGCACTCATTATTAGTTTTTATAAACAGTATGTTTGTATATATCAGTAATAATCATCAATAATCATAATAATCAGCAGATGAACGATGATTAAAATAATTAGTTTCTGTTTGATGACTCAAAGTTGTTACTATGGTTACTGTGGTATAACTCTGTAAAGGAACCTTCAATAACTGATCAATAAGCTGATCAGAGTGTATTAAAGGAGGATAACTGAGACAGTAACTGTGCTTCGTGCTCCGGCCAGCAGGGGGCAGAGGGACGTCACAAATGAACTGAACTAACAGAATGAGTTTATATATTGATTAATGAGGTTATTGATATGATTAATAACTGCAGATGTATTACGTCTGAACACCAATGGATTCTAAACTACAGCCCCAATGTATTGATCCTATCAATAACCTCAGAATCAATCACAATCAGCCCACTGGGAGCTGAAATAAACTGTTTAAACCTCAGCAACCGATACTGAGGGATCAATAATCATCATAACTCAGCCTGAAAATGCTCGAAAATGGGTACGCACATAATATATATATTATATATATATATTTATTATTATTATTTATTTTATTACTATTATTTCTATAATTTATTTATTTTATTGCTATTATAATTATAATTATTATTATATATTAATTTATTTAGTTTTTTTTATTATTATATTATTATTATTATAATTATTATTATTATTATTATTAATTAATTTAATTTAGATTTATTTCATTATTATTATTATTATTATTATTATTATTATTATTATTTATTGTACTGTGGTCCTTCAGCAGGAGGATCCCATTAACCCCCCCCAGATGATGGTGACACTCAACAATAAACTGAGACTCTCTACAGGAAAGCACAGAGCAGGTTGTTCTTCCTGAGGAGGTTCTTCAACATCTGCACTCAGCTACTGCAGATGTTACCAGTCTGTAGTGCGTCATCCTCTATACTGTGGGTTGCTGGGGAGGAGGCATCAGAACTTCTGGTACCAGCTCGGTGGGGATGGAGCTGGACAGTGTGGGGCTCCATGCATTGGACCTGGATTGAGATCTGGGGGATCTTGTTACTCAAACGGTCCTGATCCAGTTCTGCTTTGTGGCTCATTATCCTGCTGAAAGAGGTCATCATGGTGGACTGTGAGTATTGGACTCCCTGACTGGACCCAGACCAGCAGACTGCTCTGCACTGTGTGTTCTGACCCCTTTCTATCAGAACCAGCATTAACTGTTTCAGCAGTTTGAGCTACAGTAGCTCGTCTGTTGGATCGGACCACACGGGCCAGCCTTCACTCCCCACCTGCATCAATGAGCCTCAGCCCCCCATGACCCCTGTCTCTGGTTCTGTTCCTTCTTTGGACCACTTTTGATAGGTACTGACCTCTGCAGACTCTAAAACTCCATCCCACCGAGGACTCACCTTTACAAGATGGCCGACACGTTTACCTTCTTCATTAATCAATATATGTATATTATATATATAATAATATATATGTGTGTATTCATCAATATATCTGTAGACTGGTGGTCTGCTGTAACACCCACTGTATATATTCAGTACAGTAATACACTCCCGTCTTCTGTACAGTCTTCTTATCTTTCTTATCTTTATTTATTTACCTTTTAAAAGTACTTTATTCTTGTGTGATTGTAAATTTTAAGCACCAAGACGAATTCCTCCTATGTGTAAAAACCTACCGGGCAATAAATCTGATCCTGATCCTGATCCTGAGAGGATGAAGAGGGTTGGGGGGGTGAGGAGGGGTAGGGGGAGTAGGGAGAGCAGGGGGAGGGGGTGAAGAGGGGGAGGAGGAGTGTGAGGAGGAGGAGGAGGAGGAGGGGGAGTCTGTCTCCATGCAGCCTCCGGAGCTCAGGGCGGGGCGACGCCGCGCAGCAGCAGCTTCATCCCCGCTGACCGACACCGACCTCCTGCTCGTCTCCAGGCCGCGGCATGGACGCCGGAGCCCGGCCTGTTCCCTCCCGACCACAGCGGCTCCGGTTCCAGCGCAGAAGAGGCAGATAATAAGGAGCATGAAGAAGAGGATTATGATGATGATGATGATGATGATGATGAGCAGTTAGAGCGGCGGAGCGGAAACAAACCGCAGACTGAATCCGTGCGCGCGGCGGCGCGTCGCGCTCCGATGCAGCAGAAAAATCGCCATTGTTTGGATGCGCAGCAGCCTGAGAGCCAGAACCAGAGCCAGAACCAGAGCCAGAACCACAACTGTACCGACACCGTTTGACCCACAGACACCATGCTCCCCCCGCTACTCCTCACGCTCTGCCTGCACTGCTTCACCCAGGTAAGGACGCGGGTTTTGGGGTAAATATGGAGGGTTGGTCGCCTGTCTGGGTCCTGCAGAGCCGCCTGTGAGTCTTTGTTGTGGGCGAACAGAGCTCTGCTGCGGGTTAATGGAGGACTGTATAAGGGCTGGTTAATGACACAGTCACAGTGCCGGTGGATGTGCTGCTGGGGGGGGGAGATGGACCCGTTGTGGCACCGCAGGTCGGTTTGTGCGGCAGCCAGCAGCTCGTTGGCCCGCAGAGAGAAAGTGGGTCAGTCCGCTCCAGAACGAGGACCCGAGAGTCTGTCAGCATCACTCAGGATCACAACAACACACACACACACACACACACACACACACACACACACACACTGTAACACACACACACACACACACACACACACACACACACACACACACACACACACACACACTGTAACACACACACACACACACACACACACACACACACACACACACACACACACACACACACACACACACACACACACACACACACACACACTGTAACACACACACTGTAACACACACACACACACACACACACACACACACCCAGCTGATGATGAATTCATTTACCTGCTCAGGTGTCTCCAGCTGGTTCAATAAGTTGTGATGTAATGAAATAAATCAGTGGTTCACCTTTTACCTGAGATTAGGTCAATATTTCAATGTATTGATCGATAATCAATACATCCGGTGAGAATGGCCTGAAAGTAAACCCCCTCTGATACCCATAATTCATCTGTGTTCTGTGAGTCTCGTTAGATACAGAGCTCAAATATTATATATTATATATTATATATAATATATATATAATATATAATATATATTTATATATATATTATATATTATATAATATATAATATTTATTATATATATATTATATATATAATAAATATTATATAATATATTATATAATATATAATATATATATATAATATATATTATATATTATATATATATTATATATAATATATATAATATATAATATATAATATTTATATATATATTATATATGACATATAATATATAATATTTATAATATATATATTATATAATATATATAATATTATATAAATATGATATATTATATAATATTTATTATATAATATATCATATTTATATATATATTATATATATATATATATATATATATATATATTTCAAACTCTGGAACAGGAACTCTGGAGGAATCTTTCCAATCTGTTAATAATCATAACATCAACAAGCTACATACAGCTAGCATAATGTTATCAGAGAAACAAGCTGAGCTAACGTTAGCTTTAGCCTCAGTCTAATCCCTAGTGGCAGAAATTACAGACTGTACCTTTTAACATTTGTAAAGTTTTTACTCTTTAGATTAAGAAACAATGTTTTATAGGAAATAATAGATCAAATATTTCATATTGTCACTGGTGTCAATTCTACATTTCATCCAGAATTTCTGTTTTATTTCATTTGTGATTCAAATATTCAGTTTAAACAAAGATTTATTTGAGTTGTATTTTATATTTCCATCAGTCTGAAACACAGATTCAGTTTATTGTCGTATAAAACAGACGATAAAAGGAACCATTCAACAGAAAACCTTTCATTTAAACTCGTCTGTTACATTGAAGCTTCTGATTTTACATGAGAGAATAAACTAAAAGCATATTATTAATATTTCTTTCCTTGGAGCGTTTGTTTTATCTGATGGTTTGAGTTTCAAATTTCCTCTTTTGTAGCAACCACAGATGATTTATATCAGTATTATTGTACAGCTTCTCTTCTTCCTCACCGAACACCAACAGACATTACTGAAGGGCTCACCGTGTTATATCATTATTATTATATATATATTAAATATTATTATTAATGAGTTATTAGTTAAAAAGACCTTTTTCTGGGTTCAACAGGGACATTTCTTCTTCTTTAAAGTAGTAAAACAGAATGAATCTGGATTTAATCTTTGCGTTCAGATTATAATAATTCAAATAATCAACATTTACATGTTTATAGTAATTATATTATATTACATTATATATAGTGTTTTTATGTGATCTCAAGTCTTTACACTTTATTTGGATGCATACTCGGGCTCATGATGAGTTTATGTGAATGAATGAATGAGTCTCTGTGATCGGTTTGTTGTGATTAGTGTGATATTGATCTGATGACCATGTGATGTCATTAATGCTGCTGGAGGGTTGAAGTCGAACCTTTAACATCAAATATCTGATAATGAGATCATTAAAGTTATAAAATATGAGACTTTAGAGGTTTAGAGGATTAATTAATAAACTCTAATAATCCATTACAGCACTTTCTGATATGATGGAAGAAATATTCAACTGTCAAGATTGTTATGTCACTCTGGCTACTTGATATAAATTATAACTTTTATTAACGTTATCCAGCCGACAACGTAACCTGTGGTGGGTGTCGGACGTTTGTAGAGGTTAGCAGACTCCATTTATAAGCTAACGTTAGCTTTGTGCTGCTACAGCATTTATTGTTGGCTAAAATCAAAACTGTTTGTCAGAATACAGAAGTTATTATCATGGATCAACTAACATATCCTAGTGCTAACGTTAGCCAGCCAGCTGCAACCCAGCCAGAAATGTTATCCGGCGCTGGCTGTCCTGTAACGCCAGCCGACAAAATCACCAACCAACGGCAAGACTTAGCTAGCTAGCAATTTGTCCACATTAGCAAGCAAGCTAACGTTATCCAGCTAACAGCACAATCAGACAATATGTTCCACGAGCTTAGCATTAATGTTAGCTTTGACTTTGGACTCTGTGTTGGACTCTGTGTTGTGGACTCTGTGTTGGACTCTGTGTTGGACTCTGTGTTGTGGACTCTGTGTTGGACTCTGTGTTGGACTCTGTGTTGGACTCTGTGTTGTGGACTCTGTGGTGGACTCTGTGTTGTGGACTCTGTGTTGGACTCTGTTTGGACTCTGTGTTGGACTCTGTGTTTGGACTCTGTGTTGTGACTCTGTGGTGGACTCTGTGGTGGACTCTGTGTTGTGGACTCTGTGTTGGACTCTGTGTTGGACTCTGTGTTGGACTCTGTGTTGTGGACTCTGTGTTGGACTCTGTGTTGGACTCTGTGTTGGACTCTGTGTTGTGGACTCTGTGTTGGACTCTGTGTTGGACTCTGTGTTGTGGACTCTGTGTTGGACTCTGTGGTGGACTCTGTGTTGTGGACTCTGTGTTGGACTCTGTGTTGGACTCTGTGTTGTGGACTCTGTGGTGGACTCTGTGTTGTGGACTCTGTGTTGTGGACTCTGTGTTGTGGACTCTGTGTTGGACTCTGTGTTGTGGACTCTGTGTTGTGGACTCTGTGTTGGACTCTGTGTTGGACTCTGTGTTGGACTCTGTGTTGTGGACTCTGTGTTGTGGACTCTGTGTTGGACTCTGTGTTGGACTCTGTGTTGTGGACTCTGTGTTGTGGACTCTGTGTTGGACTCTGTGTTGGACTCTGTGTGGTGGACTCTGTGTTGGACTCTGTGTTGGACTCTGTGTTGTGGACTCTGTGTTGGACTCTGTGTTGTGGACTCTGTGTTGGACTCTGTGTTGGACTCTGTGTTGGACTCTGTGTTGTGGACTCTGTGTTGGACTCTGTGTTGTGGACTCTGTGTTGGACTCTGTGTGGTGGACTCTGTGTTGTGGACTCTGTGTTGGACTCTGTGTTGGACTCTGTGTTGTGGACTCTGTGTTGTGGACTCTGTGTTGGACTCTGTGTTGGACTCTGTGTTGTGGACTCTGTGTTGTGGACTCTGTGTTGGACTCTGTGTTGGACTCTGTGTTGTGGACTCTGTGTTGTGGACTCTGTGTTGGACTCTGTGTTGTGGACTCTGTGTTGGACTCTGTGTTGTGGTGGGTGTCGGTTGTTTGTAGACGTTAGCGGACTCCATTTTAGGGCTGGGTATCGTGGCCAATTTCCTAAATCGATTCGATTTCAATTCATAAGGTTCTGAATCGATTAATCACGATTTGATTCGATTCAATTCAATCTGCTCTTGAATAGTGAAAATGGGTCAACTGTGTTACAAAATACAAATGTACTTTATTTCTTCTCTTCACCTTAAACAACAGGTTTTAAGTGCAAACTTGTAAATTGGACAGTTTAAACTTGAGCTGTAAACAAAACTGTCTCAAGTCTCAAAAGTGCAATTTTGAAATTAGAAAGGGATTGCAAGTGAAAGTGTACTTGAACTACAACGTTCCATCACTGCAAACTGCATTAAGAAATAATAATAATGGTAACAAAACTAAAAGTAAACTTAAACTGTCTAAAGTCAGGTCCTGTTATTGTGACTTTGTTCTCACTTCTCACTAATTGTGAGATTCTTGTGCAGGAAAAGGAGCTCATTCACATGATTTGGGGTTAGGCAGCTCCTTTTTGCAGTGACAATATCACCCGCAGTTGAAAACACCCGCTCCAACGCAATACTGGTCCCTGGGAACAGTGGATACTCCCTTTCATTTGACCTCCAGCAGGTCAGAGGATTTTCATTCAGCCCAGTCGCTTCCCCCATCTCCTCAGCTCGTTCATCAGCATCATTACCATCAGTATTTTGCTGTTGAATAAGACAGGGAAAAAAACAGAAATAAAATAAATAGATTGAAAATAATTTTTGAACTCTTTTATATAATATTCCTTATAATCCAAAAGTATCTTTTAATTCTCAATGAAAACATTATTATTAAATTGAACAGTTTTTTTGTAAATACTTAGATCACGTGCAGCAGCCTCAGTCTGCAGGCTGGAGAAGGTGTCACCTCGCTCTTTAGCAGACAGGGATGGTAGGGCCTTACAGCGAGGATCCAGCGCTGATGCAGCACACAATGTGTCCTGATGCACATCATATCTTAAAGACATTTCAGAAATTATTTTTGTTATCGCAGTATGAGTATAAACATGGTATGCATACAAATATACAATCTCACACATACAAACAAAAAAGTGCATGGATTACAGATTATTAACTGCTACAACTAATC